CAGAGATGGCCTGATAAACCAGAATCTGGTTATATGCAGCTTCTTCTTTCAGGTATGTCTCAGGGAACACAGCCTTTCAGATACATCTCGTGAACGAAGTTTTTGGTTATTTAACATTTTAACAAAACTTTAATAATTTTTTTTTAAACAATTGGATCCCACCTGCCCTGCCTCATTTTGATACCATCTGCCCCCATAAGCACTTCCCTTAGCACTGCCCAGCTGAGCCTTGACTCAGCCCAAAACTCACTGTGATGTCTCTTCAGCATACAGAGCTGTGACAATCTGCATCTGGGGCACTTCACATGACACTCTTCACAGAAAAAGGCACAAAAGCCACAAAGGTATTTGTCTTTTGATACAAATTACTACACATTGTTCACCAGTTAAAGAATTGTCACTGAGCCAGATTCCTGGTTTTATTCTTTTTATTCTTGGAAGGAAAAAAAAAAAAATACCCTTCTGACAGAGCCTCAGTTTCAAATCACATTTAGACACGCAATTACTGCATTGAGTTCATTCCACAGTTTGACATCAATATCATAATCCAGTTACCTACTGCATGGCGCTTTAACTTCTGATAGCAAATGTTTTCAGTTTGAGATATTGTACTGAAGCCACAGGACAGCTGTAACTGACAGGATTATGTAAAAACAGTGGCTTATCACAAATGTCCTAACATTTTCTGATTTTAAGTACTCACTTGAGAGTGACGCAACTGCAAATATTGCCAGTGGTTTTGTTTGCCAAGGTTATATTTTGCCTTAAGTGATGCAAAAGAACACAGGCTCCACTCCTGAAATAGCTGGTCTATATGATACCTTTAGATATCCAGCTGAGCCAATGAATCTTCTGCCTTCAGACTTAAATGCTGGATTATCCCATTTGTGGAAAAAAAGGAGTTGGCATTTAAGCTATTTTGCCTCACATACTTTTTGACATGCGAGTGTGATTTTTCCCTACTGCTTTCATTCACACAGAGAGAAAGTTGCTGATGCTCCATTCTCATCCATCTGACCCAAAGCTCAATGGGCTCCTGCTGCACCAGCTCCCAGCCCTCAGCCCCTTGCAGCACCCGCCTTGTTCTGGTTGTAGCCCTTCTCTGGCTTTCCTTTCCTCTGGCCCTCCAGGCACCTTCAATATCAGCTTTCCTTTCTCCTCATAATCCCAAACATTGCGCACATCAGACGCCTCATGCTGTAGGTTTGAAGGCATTTGAAAATGATTAAAGCATCCATCAGCTTTCCAGAGCTTAACAACCATCATTTTGAAGAGATTCAGGGCAGTGTTCCACCAGATACAGCAGAAATAACCTCATAGGAGTTTTCTGGCTTGCAAAAGTTAAATGACAGAACAAAGTCAGTGAGGACCACAGAGAAAGCAAGGACTTCTGGGCAGCTCTTCAGGGAGATAGGGATGTAAAAAGAAAAAAAAGCAGAAGAGAAAAACCTCATTGGTGGAAAACCCACAAATCTTTGACAAAGGCAATTTTACAAAGTACAGTTCACCCTACTCCTTGCAGGACAAAGTAAAAGAACATGGAAATGAATAATGGCACAACTTCCACTGTCCACCTCCCCGGGAACATTCAGTCCAGTCAAGGAGGTAAGGTTGGCTGTGGGTAAGGTTTGGCCTTACCAACCAAAGAGGACCAGGAGACTTGTGGTACACGAGTATCTAAAGTCACAGCCCCTTCTTGGCAGAAATAACCTATTCCTGTCCCTCACCACTTCCCACCACCACTTGTACCTTGTGCCAGCATATGAACAAGCATTTATGTGCTCTTTCATAACTATGTGGCATTTTCAAGCCACCAAACCTTGCTTTCTGCAATAGGACTCTCAAAAAAATGTCATACTTCCAAACAATTCCATTCTGATCAAACACACATTGCAGGTTTTTAATAAATGAGTGCAGCACGTCTAGCAAATCTATATTAAATCTGAGAGTTTTTAATCATACCACACTTCTTAAATGACATTTTCACAATGATAGTCAAAGCACCATCTCAATCCACTTATCTTCTTAATAATCAGCAATGCTCTTTTGTCTGCTGCAAGATCTTTGTTCTTGCCCACACAAGCCCTAGGAGTAGCAAACACGATGCAACATGCTACGAACTCCTGATCGTATCTACCTGCCCTCTGAGAATGCAATAATGTGCTGAAATCGCTCCAGTACTGGACAAAATGAAAACACAAATTAAGCCAACATTAATCTATATAAGAAAAACTGCAAAAAAAAAAAAAAAAAGAAAAAAAAAAAAAAAAAAGATCTTCCACCTCATATCCCAAGATCCACAGAGATTCCAGATCAAATTTTCAAGGTGCTGAAAAACAGCAGCTCTGCTTAAAGGCAGTAGTATTACAGTAAATACCCATCACCTTTGAAAAAAAAAATTCCTTAACTTTAGAATCATAGAATCACCAAGGTTGGAAAAGACCTAAAAGATCATCCAGTCCAACCGTTCACCTATTACCAATAGCTCCCACTAAACCATGTCCCTCAGCACAACATCCAGTCTTTGTCTCGCAGCACACCTAAAGAATGTTGTCTTCAACTCAAAGGAAGTCTGTATTTTTTCGATTTAATATCTTAACGGATGCCAGTTTCAAAAGATTTTAGTTTGTGGCACTGAACTATGATTTTTGATTTTGTCCTTTTCTTCACATACCTTCTTACACATCCTACATGAGCACAGAGGTCTTTTCTTCCTAATTAAAGCCCACCTTCTCTCACATAGCACTGAGCTCTTCTACAAGTTCCTCACAAACTGCTACCCATAGAAATTTCTTTGTCCTCAGTTACAGAACCTCATTCATCTCCTTGCAAAGGTTTCAGACTTTCAGGACACTGAACAACAGACAAAAACTTCTAGAAGGCACATAACACTTCCTATTGGTTTTGTTCATTTTAAACCTGATCTGTACATGACCCAGTCTCAATAGATACTCAGACACTAACTAGCTATCTTAGTATTCCAGCGCTACTTATAAAATACAACAAAGTTTTAAATCTTAACATAAAAACATTCCCTATAAGTACTTATTTTCCTTTATTTTAAACATTTCTATCTCCACCAAGTACAAGAGGAGCTCAGGAATACAAAGCTGTAAACACACCACATTGGTATTGCAGACCTCCAGGACTAAGCAAGATGAATTCTCTACTCCAACTGTCCCACTATTGGTCCACACTACCTGGGTTATTTTGCTTAATCTCAAACACAAAGATATGGCAAGGATCAGAAGAACTATTAGTGAAAATCAGGCATGCTGCATCACTAGTCCTAAAACCAAAGGAGATTAAAACGATTAGAATGGTACCAAACCCACTAGAAGCTGGCAAGAAACACCACGGAAAGCTGTGCAAACTGAAGAGGTTGTTTAAATGATTCTTACAGGGGAAAGAGAACTTAGGGATAGAACAGAGACAATGAGGGAACCATGTAAAATTTATTATGAGATTTAAGTGGATTACAGTAATATGCAATACTCTCTATGGGACGTTTAAGGGAAGTACCAATGGTGAGTGAATGGAGAGACAAGTGAGAGTGTGTACAAGTCCATGCCCAGGGCTCCCCTGAGCACACAGACCACAAACACCACCTGCAGAATTCTGAACATCCTCCTGTCAAAAAGGCCCAGACCACACCTACCCTGTTTTCAAGTAACATGTGAAGCCATGGGAACACCTCATTCCAGAACACAGGCTTTACCTTAGAATGTTAAAAGAAGGTGCCCCACTTGAATATATTTGATGACAAGACTAAGATCTCTGCATAATACCAAACTCACAGAACTTGAAAAAGAAAAGGAATTCATATCCAAATGCAATAGCCTCTGAGTACTTTGCTATCTTTAAAATTTCTTTTCTCAGTACAGCACCAATCTCTCTGATAAGCTGAGAGGTTATGGTTATCTTACTGGATAAACAGGAAGATCTTACTGATCCTACTAGTAGCATTACTTGGGGGCCTGTCTGAAATCAACAGCACAGAAAGGACTCTGAACATAAAGAGATGCTTTGGACACAGTTCTGCCATGCAGCAGAGTTCCATGCTGTGACAAACCTAACTTCAAACTGAAACCTCTCCAGCTACATTCAGAGTTTTGCACCAAAGCTAGTGAACCCGACGTGGTAAAGCCTGTTCACACCAGAAGTTAACATGACTTAGTAAATGAAAAAACCAACGACATCAACTCAACCTGAAGAGTTAAGGCTGGAAAATTCTAATTCCAGAATATCAGTCTGATTTTGCAAATTGCTCTGGACTTGACTACAGCTGTTTCACAAACCGTGCTGTGGATCACACAATCTCCCTAAATTTTCTCAATGTTTCAGGAAGGAAATAAACTATTTGGCACAGAGCACACTGTATTAGTGCAGCAGGCACTCAGCCAGCATCAGTCTATTCCCTGATCTGTTCCACTGCTTCTCATCATCCTACTTATAGCTCTTCAAATCTGCTTTTCTTCCTGCATAGCTCCATAAGTTAAGAGATCCAGAGAGTAAAGGATACATTATGGCCTCTTATCACTTTATCATGATGATCCAGGAACTTTGCCCAAGCAGCGTTGAAACAAACAAGTGAAAGAGTAAAAGCTACAAACACCTATGGATGTTAGGACCAGTATAGGAAACAAAAAATGCGCTCAGTATGGTAATTACAAAGAGGAAAAAAACTTAGGTTATTATAATTTAATTCATTACTTTTGGTAATAAAGTCAGAGGGTTGGAAGAAATGCAGTTACTGACTGCAAATAGCAGTAAAAGGTTGGAAAACCTCCTTTTGCATGGAAAATGCTAAGCAACATTCATGGCCACTAAATGCGTCACGTTTCTGCAAGACAGTTACAGAATAAAAGACCCAGTAAATTCCAGAAGTTTTCTGAGTACCCAAGTAACTCTAGCAAAAAGCCAAATCTGCCTCACTGGAAAAGAGGCAAAGCATTTCCCAGTCAAAACAAACAAGCAAACAAAACCCTCCAGGCTACTGGTACCTTGGGGAATGTAAAGCTTTTATTATTATTATTTTTTAATATAAACTTCAAATATGAAACTTATTTTAAGTCTCATCTAAAGTTTGTCTGTTACAAATTTGTGCCATCTTTATCCAGATTGAGAGCTTTAATTAATACAAAAAGACTTATTCAACTATGCTCTTCTTAACATTAGTAACTTTAACAGTCTTTGAAGTTTTGTCAAGTCATAACAATAGTTAAGAGCAAAACAAAACAACTGTTTGTAGAGAGGTTCTTTTAGATAAAAGGGAAACAATACATTGTGCTGCAATAAATAGGAAGCAGAATATTTGCCAACTAGAATAATCAAGACCTACTCGATTGCATTAAGGTCATTTATTATTTTACTAGGTTTCTGTCAAAAATTTCCCTAAGTATAACTGGTTTTATGGTTCTAATGTAAAGAATAGTTACCTGCCTCTCAAAAATCTGTATCAATTTCAATTTTATTTTGCTGTAATGGTATCAGAGCATAGAACTTGAACTACTGATATCCTACACCAGTGATCAAGCTATCTGCTCACATCAGAAGTGTCAAGCTCCACTGAAATACAGAGTTAGAGCAGTAACATCAGACTGGTAATAAATGATTCCAGGGCCAATTCTTATGACTAGCCAAAGCAGGCAATGAGTTCACAAATTGGAATCAGTTTATGCTTGTAAGAAAAGCAACATCTCTGGAGCCCATACACTTGTCTTACCAATGCCCATAATATTTTGTACTGTGTATTCATTCAATTGTGACATTTTCTTTCATTGCAACATTTTGTATATGTGAAAACAATTACTGCACTACTGCCACAATATGTTTCTTCTTCTCTGACACCACTGGCACAGATCCTGGTTTGCTGTGCTTACGACGGTTCAACTCCCTAGAAACAGAAAGCAGAAAAATGCAGTTCAGTAGTCAGCACAAAGTTTTATCAAACAACAGCTTCTTAAGCGAATAGTGGAGACATCTTAAAATTCAAATACAATAATAACAGTTTTACTTTTATTAACTAAAACCAACACATCTCCCCATTTGAAAAGGAGCAGTGCACCTTTGTTAAGCACCCTTAAAATCAGGCAATCCATAATAGTCTTTCAAATCGACTCTTTTCTTGGGAGCACAGCTTACTTGGTCTTCGTATTAGCAAGATTTGCTGTTCAAGTTTGTAAATCAGCTGAGAAAGATGAGTAAAACCCATCACCTTTGTTTTTACTCCAGCTATGAAATTAACAGTGAAGTATGCCATATTCTGCTCCAATACATGACAATGATCCACATGACTGAAAATACTCATCCTAGAGTCTGACTTTAAAAAAAAAAAAAAAAAAAGCAACAAAAACCACAAAACCCCCGAAACATCCCCCCAGACAGGCTGTTCTGTCGCCATTGCAGTGTTGCATTATGTCACAGTAGCAGAGCATTGTAGCTCCTTATAACATGACATTCACTCCTGGTCCATCAGCAAACTACTGGGAAGCAGCCACTCCTTGTTGATGCTGGCATTTGTCCGTGTTTTTCTTACAATCACAGGTTAATCAATCCACTGATTCCTGGTCCCTTTTCAGATGCTAGAAGTAGCTCACACTTGCTCCTCTCACACATTCCCATACACTGCTGCCACAGCACCAGTTTTGTCAACATTTTGTTAAAACAAAGATAAAACAAAGGTGGAAGACATACTTCCGCCGCCGAGCTTCTCTCATGATCCGCTGCTCTTTGATTTGGCAATAGATACTCTTAGGCAAGTGACGGTGCCGAGCGATGCGTTTGATCTGTGGATGATGCTGGAACTTCTCCTTCAACTTCTGATTGTAATTCATAGCTGCCTTCTCTCGTGGTGCAAGCTACAAGGAAAACAACACAGGTAAACATATAAAACAACAGGGACTTGACTCCAGGTTTCTCTAAAAAGCAGTTTGAACTTTTAATTCAAATGGCTTCTTTCTAGCAAGTTTTAGTGCTTACAGCTATTTAGGAATTACAGTAGATAAACATTAAAACCAGCAACTTCAATGATGACTCACTGTTCAAACATAAAACATCACAGTCTCAAAGTTCAGAGCAGTAACCGAACTCTCCCAGAACAAGATTTTAATGTGCTCTACACAAGGAAGGAAGAATAGAAAAGGCTGATAGGGTAAAACTTCCTTGCTCAGTCTGCTGTTCTCCTAACCAGTGTAACTTCTGCTGTGAAATTAAGATTTGCAGGTTTCAATTGCTAGTCAGTATAAGTACAAAAGCTGAAGAGGAACTGTGTTCATGAACTGCTTTGCAGACAGATCTGTACATGGCCAAAACCTTACATGGTGTCTTGATCCATTAGGAAGCACGTTGCATATGAAAATTCAAGTATTAACTTGCCTATATGGTACACAGGGCATTCCAGCTTGTATCACAAACATGAAATACAGGAATGCCAATGTTACCCCCAAAAGACAAATTGTATCCACATTTAAAATTATGTCTAAGCCACCATTAACAACACTGAAAGTCAGAAGTGTCTTTCTTGCAGCTTAATCTCTGGAGGACTTTTTATTTTTTACCTAGGCATGTTTCCTCTGCTCCTAGCACTTGTTTCGTAAAAGGAAAAACTGTCTGCAATGTTTCTGCTTAAAGCATGCACTGCTTCACAAGGAATAGCAGTTTCTAAGTATTGTGGATTCGTATGGACTTGAACCACAGCAGCAAGCGAAGATGTATGAAGAAAAGCCCTGTACTGCACAAGTCACTTGGGCTGTAGATATGTTACTGTAACAAGCCCTGTCTTCTCCTTCCTACCTGTATTTTGTGAAGACACTACAGAGCTCCACTGTTTCAGACATCTAAAGACCCTTTGTGCTCTCAAACAAGCAGCAGCACAAGTCTTTTACCCTTCCCCATGCACTGAATCCACTGCTAACTGCACCTGAAGTCTTACGGACAAAGTAAGTAGTTCAGAGTTCTGTTAATCAGTCCCTGCAATAGACTTAAGTGCATTGATTTCTTACTTTATGAAGAGTAAACAGAACCTGAGTTTCAGACAAACACAGACACAAAAGGCAGAACAACAAACCCTTCCCCAATTTATTACACAAAAAAGTGGGAATTTCACCTCCATTATGGAGCATACTTTTTTTTTTTCCCTTTTGAAACTAGCAATCAGCTATTTCTTCTCTACTCCAGAGGTCACCTTTAGAAATGACTTCAATCACATTGCATAAATTCTGGATATATTATACTCATACAACTTAGTTAAAAAAATATCACTAATGATCTGTTAGCAATAACTCAAAAATATGGCAAAGCAGTTTCTCTTCTGGGACAAAAACAAAGCAGGTATCAGATGGAGAGTTGCTCGTCACTCAAAATTCTTACTCAAGTATCACAGTATTAACTTTTAATCTCCATTTGCCCACACCATCTTATTCACAGATGGAAACCCTTCTGCTTTACCTACATTGATCATAACCTCTCTAATTGCAGGTGAATACATTCCTCAATTCTAATACAATAAAGCCAGTCTCTTTAGCAAAATTCATTCCAGTGAGCCAACCTCAAGAGTTAGTTCTCTCTCAATGAGTCCCAGGTGTTCCCATTCCACCCAAAACTGCCAACATAATCAAAATCAAAGAGCTTTTATTTTAATTATATTCAATTATATTTCTTTAATTTAAGAAGAGCAAATCGCTGCAGATTTAGTATAACTCCAGTGATTCTGCAGACAAGAGGTGAATCTGCAGATTAAAGATACATCCAGGATACCTTATTTTAAAAAATTAATATAGATTAAGTAGTGGATATACCCAAGTCTCTTCCCATCTCTGTGTGAAATACAGCTTTTAGAAATGCACCTAGCTGGTGTCTCGGCATTCAATTACTGAACGGCAGTGCCTAATATGCCAGGCTATGCATCCACACGATGACTAAAAGAAAACAAAGCAAGAAGACCCCTGTATTACTGACGAGTGTCTATTTGCCAAAAATACTAGCAAGCCAAGAAAGCAGACTGAAGTAAGGTGCCAAATTCCAATTTCTCTCTTGCAGAGGCCATCTTGGACAGTTGAAGAAGACACCACTGCTTTCCATATGCTTTGAGCTGAGAAAAATGCCATGAAGGCAGCAACACAAGGTAGCAGGATTCAAGATTTTGTTTACAGGAACTATAACACTCTGTAGAGCATTAAAAAAATAAAATATTGGGATTTCCATATCACGAGTGAGACACACTCAGATGACTTACGACCCTTTTTCCATATATCCTGAAGTGAACATCCAATTCCCTCCCTGTATGAGAAATCAGAAATCATGCGTATGCAAGGATTTGTGCTGCTACAAGAGCACTGCTATGCAGCAAACACAGTGAAAAGAGGGAGGAAGAGCCCTGAAGTGCGAGCTGCCAGCAATAGGAAAATACGTGCTTCACTAAACCATGCCCTCTTTTCTCTCTGCAGATGACAGAAGCTGGTTATTTCCTGACCCCTCCATGCAGAAGGAAGGTAAGCATTTTTCCAGAGCCCTGACTGCAGAGCTAAAGTCACCTTTAGCAAGTCATACTTCTTTTAAGTCTGTGCATTTGTATCACAGTATTTAAAAACTCTGCACTATTAGTTTCCTCTAATTCAGCAGGGGAATAGGAAGTTGCTGTTTATCTCTCCCGTCCAGATTGCCCTTCTAAGTTAAGGCAGATAGAACACAGATGAAACATTTTTAGACTGCAAACATATCCCAGCAATTCCCCACAATGTAATTTGTTATTTGTAATTTCTCCAACTGCTATGCTGCAAATACTCTAAAATCAATTGCTATGAAGTTTATTACTCATTATTCCCTTGAATCAAAACCTTACAGCTTCTTAACATCTAAGCAGACAAAAGAAAAGAAAGGTAACATAGAAGTGAAGAGCACAGAATCGTAGCTAGAGGGATGGAGCTACGTGTGCACTGAATCACAAAGGAAAATCACTCTGAAGAGAATGCCTTGTCACACAATACTGGTGCTGCTTGTTATCAGCCCCATCTCACAAAACAGAACCGTATACCAGAGGGAGACTGAAAGGATATACAATTACTTGGACTGTTTTGATGCTCTCCTGCTTATGCTCATTGCTAGACCAAAACCCAGACTTGTAACTGTACTTTCTCCAATCTCATTCAGTCCATACTTGAAAGCTGTTATTTCTGCGTCTTGTAAGAATGTATAAAACCTCTGTTCCACTTCTATTACACCCTTTTTTCACACTAGTTTTATGCTTACTGAGATACAAATCATTCCCAAGCATCAAGTTTTCTTCTCCAATGACCCAGCACTGTCTAATCCTCAGCTATTTTACGGTTTTACTAATTGAAACTTACTCTATCACTGCTTTTCCAGTCTTTTTGCTAGGACCTTTGTAACTTTTTTCCTCCAATCCAAAGGTATTCCTCTTCTTCAGAAATTCCAGCCCTCTCCAAGACTTCAGGCACAAAAGCCTCACAAACTCATCACATTTTATGTACAGTATTTGAACAGTTCGCAGTACCCTTAAAACTCCTGTTAAATTGGGCCTTTTGTTGCAGGACATGCAGAGCTACATTGTTACTGCTTTAAAAACAAAACCTTATAAAATCTTATTTGCCTTCACACTGCTACCGGGAAAACAAAAAAAAAAAAAACAAAAAAAAAAAAAGCAATTTTTATAAAATAATAATTAAAAAAGCACTGCATATTATTTTAAAGCAACTTCTGCAATTGCCTCAACAGAGAGATTTGGGTTTGTTACCCCTGCATAAAAACTCATTGTCAGTGGAGTGGAGACTCCACTGGAGTGGAGTGGAGTGGTGCCTCTGGCTCCTTAAGAGACTCGGGTTCTTATTTCAGTGTTTCACTGATTTTAAATAATGAGTGCAATGCCAAATACATTAAAAACCTAAAGAAACATGCATGTCAGAACTGATGACTGCTAGGGTAGCCACTGCTCAGGAAGTACAACTCTCCAACTGGATTAATGTTCATCAGTCACAACCCAAATACTGTATTCAGTCTAACTCCCTTGTCTCAGCACCGTGAAGTTCCAGGTAAGAATACACTCCCAACAAAGAACACAACATCTGATGATTACCTTCTCTGTTTCTCTTGCAGGATGTTGGTTGCTATCCCTCCGCACCCCAAAAAAAAATCCATCTCAAAATGCAATGTATTCAAGATGCTGGCATTATATCAGAAACACTGTGACCTTTGGATGAGTCATTCAATCAAATCTTCTCAGCTAAGAAAAATAGCAGACCAAGCAACTAAGCATTTAAGACACATTCTGACACTTCCGACAGAATTACTGAATGTTCAGCTTGAATATCTGAAATGTTCAAAAAATAGGCACTGACTATGGAAGAGCTGGACATTTATAAACTGAGTGAGCACATGTCTGTGAAGATAAGAACACCAGTCCTCCAACAAAGAGCAGATGCTAAAGAAAAACAGCGGAATCTGATAAGTAGCCATTAACACCTGCAACAAAGTCAGGAACAACCCAACTAGATGGACAAGAATTAATACTGCTGCCTGCATCCAAGTGATAGTCTGAAGTTATATCCAAGAAAGTGATAAGCCATAAAGACTCCACCCTAAGTCTTCACACCTATAATTAATCTCCAAACGTGTGAAAAATAAGATTTCATACTGCTGCCATGCATTTTTACAGCAGCTATAGCAGCTCCAGACAGTAACTACTTCAACATTCAAAATTCTATAATTTTTTAATCCAAGGTTTCAGCAATATAATGATTGAGCATGCTTCCACACAAGATACAGGGCTGTGAAACATTATCACTTTTTAATTATAATATAATTTTCGCGAGTTCATCAGCGCCATCCATCTGAAATGAGAGTAGCTCTACATAACCTGTTCCTTTGAAGTTTTCCTGAGTAGTCTTGCTTTCTTAAAGTGTTTTTCAACATTGCAAGGTAACACGATGCTTATTCTAAATGGTAACTTCAGTTACAGATAATGAAAAATAAAGAAGGAAAGAAACATGCAACTGATCCTACACGTTACAGATAACTGACAGTCATCTTGGTAGTTGTCGGCCAAACTCAACCCTACACGCAGACTCTGAGGTATGCCAAATAGCAGCAGTATACTTAAAAAACAGGCACAGCCTATCATGCATAGAATTCAGAGTCAGGTTAAAGAACAAGAGCATTAACGTGCAGAACATACTCAGCACCTGACAGTCTAAACTGGCAGTGCCTTTTTTAGACCCATCCACAGCCAGTTCTCACTGATGCAAATACTGCAGAAGAGGACAGAATGTCATTTTCTCAGGTACTTGGACTATAGTGCTGTAGTCCCTTTGGTACATAGTATTCCTGTGACACAGAAGTCCCTGGAAGTTCTCAAAAATGTTTAGATGTTGTACTGAGGGACATGGTTTAAGTGGGAAATACAGGCGATGTGTGGACACTTGGACTGGAGGATCTTAGAGGTCTCTCGCAACCCTGATTCTATGACTCTAAGCAGTCAGTTTTGCACATACTTCTAAAAGCAAAGTATCCTTATTCTTCCATAGGAAGGAGCTGATGTTATCTAGTAGTCAACAGATTGAATTTTGTTTTTATTTTAAAATGTTAGTAATCATTCTATACAAAAATGCTATTTTGACATTCTTTTTACCCACTTGTCCATCACAAAAAGGTTACAGAATAAAGATGCGTGGTAAAAATACCACAGATTACTCTGTTCTGGAACAGCATGTTAGAGAGACAGAATGGTCCTTCTGCATTAACTATGAAGACTGTGATTAATGAGAGAAAACTTCAGCTAACCCTGTAAAAAGGGTGTTCTTGTGAGCCTACACATACACCAACAGAAAAGCAGGTAACGTGTCTTGCCCAGTACTGCACCATCTAAACAAATTCAACATAAAACTCATATCAAAATGTCCAGAACAAGCTCTTCAAAGCCCTTGAGATTCACAAGTACAAAGCTGATATTTACATGTTAAATATTTTACTAAAGCACTACTTGGAAAAAATCCCAAGAATCAGTTCAGAACAGAAAGAAAAAAAATAGCATCCCAAACACAGAGTTAGTCCATTAAAGAAATCCAACTTAAATGTAACAGCCTGTAACCACACATGCTGTATAGGGTATAAAGGCTTTTTTCCCCCCCATTACTTTATAGCAAGCATGACAAAAAATAACAAGCCTTCTGAATGCTTATGTTGAGCTATGGCTAGGGACACACTCGTCATTTCAGCTGCGCTGCTCCATATGCAATCTTCCCCAGTGCACAGCAGCTCATGGTCTTTCCCAATCCACCCTGCATCCCCAGCACTCTCAGTGCTCCCACTGACCCACCACCCCTCCCAGATTCACTTCCCTCCCTGCAGACATTATCACTTCAACATTCCCCCCACACAAACAGCTGTATGGAACAGACCTGTCCCTTTAACAGTACAATATTCTTCCCTGAATTCCAGCTTCCCTCTCCTCCCACCTCAGTATTCTACAAGATCAAGCCGGAATTCCTCCAAGAATTACTTGACAGTTTTGCTTTTTCTGATGAGCTCAGAAAATGCAGTGTAAGCAACCCCAAGGTACCTTGACAACATAAAGCTACATGAAGGCATTACTTCCAGTGGACAAAGCATCAAATTCTCTCTCTAAACTCAATACTCAGTACTTTAACTCAGCTGTGTGAATGAATATATGCAAGTGGTAACTGTAACAGAACATTTTAGCTTTGTCCACTAATAACCTCTTCAACACGTGTAACTGAAAAGATATGCAACTAATTAGCTTGAAGTCCACTCTTACTAGGAAGGCTTCAACCAAACTGGCTATATTGTATAATTGTATTAAATAGAGTTCAGTCTAGCTCACACGCTTGATATTTGAGAGCTACACAAGCTAATGACCATCTCAGCTATGCACTGTAGTAGAGTTTACTTGCAGCAGTGCATATGCTTATGGTGGCACGGATTCGACATGAGTCAGTCAGGTCAAAATTTTTTATAAGCAGTAACCTTAAGCTTTAGTAGACAATTACACGTAGCAAACTCAAATGTACTGCTTTTAGTGCAAGGTTATGCATACTCACCTGTAGCATCAAGAAAAAAAACATCAGAACTCATTACTGTTAAAATTAAACAAGATGAAAAAGCTACCTTGTGTAGTGATAAAAGCGCATTCAATCTTACTAAAAGCCACAGTAAACACAAAGAGCTGTACTGCACATGTTAGTTTTCAAATTAAATACAAGTCATGCTACAACTTTACATTTTTCCTTTAGAAATAAAGTGTTAGAAGCTGAACAGGCTAACCAGCTGTCATAACAAAAACCACCTCAAACATCCAGCCTTGTGATAACAAAAAGCAAAAAAGTCTCTTACCACCCCCAGTTTTTCAGAAGCATTGGCCTTCCACAGACGAATATTCATCTCATCTGAGCCACACAGAATGTATTTATTATCTGAAGTCCATTTTACAGTGATGACGTGCTGCATCCGCTTTGTATGATACACCTCTCTAAAGTAAAGAGAAACATTTTTTAATGGTTTATTATCTCTTTTCCTACCAATGTCGCCTTTCAAATAGCAGAATTTTCTGTTCACAAAAGAATAAGTTTTTACTTTTTGTTTTCAAATAGTTTTCAGAACACAGCATCACCCACTGCTCCCAACCCCTGTGGCTCATCAGTCACGCACTGCAGCTGAGACCATCCCCTTCCCTCTACCCAGTTAGCTTTAAAACCCAAATAGTAGTGGAAGAGAAATACAAAATCAATATTCAGAAGCCATGAACAACTAGACTGAGCTTGATCTGGGCAGTGTGGGAGTGTGAGAAGAACGTATAACCCATGTATCACCCTAAGTAAGCTTTTGTAACATTAACCATCACTGTAATTCACACTCAAGTGATGCTCTACACTACAGGAACACTGCAAAGAACTCTGCACAAGTACCTTCCAAAAACACCGATGCTTACATCAGGTTTTACTGACATTAAGGTTTAATACTGTGTAAGCACATATGCATTTCCATAAGCATTCCTGTAATTACTGTCATTTTAATATTTGGCTCAGTAATGCATTTTTTTTCATTCACCTTTGAGGAATTCAGGATTTTTCCCTTCCTCCCGGAATTTTCAGCCTCTCTCCCTTCTCTTGTTTTCACCACAACTGATTAAATTCCATTTTGAGAGAAAGGAAAAACACAGAAGATGGCCAAATAACTTGAATACGTCATTTAAAAAAGCCCACACAGACATCAAGTTCCATTTACCAGGCATTTATTGACTTGAAATCAGCTTCCTAATATATGTTATTTCTCATGGCTATACAACTTTACAACTGCCTTTTTTTTTTTTTTTTTTTTTTTTTTTTTTAAATACAAAGCAGTGGAAGTTAGGAGATTCAATTTCAGCCTGGTGGGAGATCAAAAGTCTGAGTGAATAGGAACCCAATCAGGGTTCTTGTTCATAAATACCCTTAAGCGCCACCCCTGTTTCCCCAAAATGGATCAGACATTCTGTTTGGAGATCTTTTACCCCTCCACAGGATTTATTTCAACTATGCTGGTCCCAAAGAGTACAGCTTTTAGCAAATTTTACGTGTCCCAGAATGCCCCAGTCAGCTTATACAAAGCTAAGTTCTTCATTTGAAAGGCTCTTCCCCACTAGGATTTATAGCAGTCAAAGAAAAAGACAGAAAAAGAGAAAAGGAGAGGAAGAGAAAATGTTTCATTCAGGGAAAAAGAATGAGAAAAAGAGGAAAAATGTCTTCCTTATTAACAACCTGCTGTAATGTGGAATAAAGCCTTTAACTCTTTTACTGCTGCATTATGGGATCTGTTATTTCAATGAAGTGATTTAACTACACCTATCACCCCTCCTGTGAACATTCCACAGTACAGAAAACCTGGGGAGCAGATTTTAACCATGCTGTTTAACAGTAGAAAAGTAGGAAAAGTGGAAAAAAAAAAAAAAAACAACAAAGGCATTACACTGCCTAACTATATTTCAAGTAGTATTGCAGGACAGGAAAAACAAAACTACTCATAGGTTATGTTATAAAGGAAAACAACAACAGCCCTTCTCAATCTCTAATGAGGTACAGGAGCATACAGACACGTTAAGTAATGCATACAAAATTACAACAACCCAAAATAAAGACACAGTCCTCCCAATTAATACTCAGCACTCCCCATCCCCTCTAAAACACCTGAAATTTAAACCATCCTGGGGGACGAGGTTAAGGTGGGGAGACAGTGGAAGGAGAGTAAAAGAAAAAGAATAAAGGAGAGAAAAAAACCCAAAAGGCTGACAGAGAATAATGAAGGTGGGTTTATGAAGAACAAATGATACCAGATCAACCTGATAACTTGCTTTGATTTTCACCAAATTGAAAAAGAAAATAACGAAAACAGATTCAATCTGAACTTCAGCAAAATATTTAAAACATTGCTTTATGAAATAATACATGAAAATCTAATTCAAACTGAACTGTATTCACAGCACTGTCATATGACTCAGAACCTGGTTAACAAAGTATGAACACTCTGTACTGCAGTGCATGGAATTAGATCACAAAAGCATTCCATACTGATCCTTGGGAATCCACAACAGTGATTTTCACAGCATCTTTACTAATCATCCATACAGGATTAAGACAGTGCTGGAAAACCAAATGTTACAATATCGTAAGGCACTGTGAACTTTGGTGGTGACACAGTACAAAGTGACCTATAAAGATTGTAGACAGATATACCGGGAAAGAAAAGGAGATTGATCTTGGTTAAAAAAAACTACACATAAGAACAGTAGTTCAGAACTGATGCTCCATTTTCTTGGAAAGCTGTCATGGAAAAAGTACAAATTCATAGAGCATGCATAGTGGAAAAGATAAATTTAGTATACAATAAGTGGTATCACACACAGCAATGGAAGTAGGTCTTCTATATAAGTAACTAATGCTTTCTTAGACACATAGCCTCCATCCTGGATACTTATGCAGCAGAAAACAAAAAACAGAAGAAAAAAGCCAAATATAACATAATTCAGAAGTTGTACCAATAGGACTCCACTGTAATTTTAATACAAAATAGCTAAAGTACAGTTAATTATTAAATACAAGTTCTACTCTAAGACATTCCAGAATTAGCTGTTGGTTACATGACCTGTTAGTGTCAAGCTGTATACAGAATAAGGCTTCCAGATCCACTGCAAGTGAATTCCTCAGCAAAGTTAGGAACTAAGAACTTTTGTGGATTATTGAGGTGCAGGAGAACAAGACAGAGTTGTAAAATCACTCACCTGCTGTGACCTTTGTCTACAGGAAAAATGCGGACAGACTTATCGAAGCTGGCAGAAACAAATTCTTTCCCAGTGGGTGAATAATCCACATCAAGAACAGCAGACACGTGGTCCATGTGCACCATCACAGGTGATGTAAGGTAGCGCATGTCAAAAGTATACAAGCTGCAGAATAAACATATCAACTGCTTAACATCCAAACAACTCCAAAGTGAATAGTTCTTTTTGCTTAACAGCTGCTTTAATCATGCACACACCAAACCTCAAGAGAGAATTCTTCAAAACTGCAAGTAACAAATGAAAGGAAAGAACGATGTAGTGCTTAGAGCCTGAAAAAAAGCTTAATAACTAGAGGCTGAAGCAGACCTCGGTGGGTTTTTTTGCTCACTCTCAAATAACAAAGATCTCTACCACTCCGTACAGCATCTGTCCCTGGGCCATTGACTTTGCCTATTTGTCCAACTACCACACTGCCTTTCTCAGCTCCCTCCTCTTATATATCATGTGAACTCAGACAAGCACTTCTCAATCAGTTATCCTCATCATGTCAAGCCCATCAACTCCTAGGTTTCTAGACTTTCCCATATTAGAATCTCCTGGTAATTCAATGTCTGCTGCGAAATTCCTGTTTGGTTGGCACCTTTCCCTATAGCCTAGTTGTCTTTGTATCAGACAACCACTGACTGTAGGAATCCAAGTAAAGCTTGGTCCTTCAGCACAAAGAGACGCTACGTCAGCAGAGCTGAAGACCCGCACCATTTACAGTGCCTGTAAAAATGAAAATTAACATAGCTGCTGGAGCACAGCTGGTTTGCTGTTAAGCACTTCACAGCTCAGGCTTACTTGTACTCCTGTGAATCAACAAAACCTGCTGATACATAGTAAGGTGTAATAACTGCATACATCATTTATTTGCCCAGTACCAATAAATAAAGGTGCATTACAGACAAAGCATTTAATTAAATTAGCTTTAAGTGTACTATTTGATAAAACTACTATACTAAAATTCTCACATTTAGCAGTAAGCTTTTCATCCTCCTTCCAACAGATGAATGCATAGTTGGAATTAATTCAATGTCTTCTACTCAATTACTTACTGGCAACTATACCTCCTCCTCCTGAATTCTCAAGAAAAAGTATGCTAGCATCACTTTCAAAACTGCTACTTCATGTAATCAGCTAACACTTCATGCATGTTTTTGATACACGCTGCACACAGTTTACCAGAGAAGAATTTACCTTAATGGCTACCAAATTTAGCTTACTGCAGGGAAAACAGCGATGTATAAATAGATTAGATAGCCTTATCACACCATAACCAGAACAGGTGAAAAGTAATACTTTCAGTACAATGTCAATTTTCAAGGTTTGGGCCAGATTCTATCTCCTTGGAAAAACAGCCTTAAGATAAGTGATAAAAAATCCTATGTTCTAAAAGAAAGCAGTGATCTATTGTTAGATCACTGACTTCCTGGAAAAAAGGATACAGAGCACATTTTGCAGTGGCCTAGTTTTGAAGAGGCAGCTTTTTCAATAGCAGATTAGCTATTCACATGCACAGTATCGCCCAGAAGTAAAAAACAGCTCTGAGAAACTGAAAGGGTAAGCACTGCAGTCTTTGGAACCATTTCATAAAAGATTAATTTTAAGAGATGTTCTCATCAAAATAGGTGATTGGTACAATATATCAAGCTTCACAAGACCTGGTAAGAAAATAAACACTTATACTGATTGCCTCAGACTGGACCAATATTATTTCCCTTCCAGGTCCTATTGTAAATTATGCTTGCATAGGTTAAAACTGTATTTCTGTAAATTGCACAGGCTGCCTGGAAGAGGAACAGGCAGTCTAGTACCAATTGTAGGGTCTGTTCTGTAGGGTTTTTTTTGTTTGTTTGTTTTTTCCCTTTTTAAGTCACTGAGTTTATAATTTGCTGGGTTACTACTTAAATGTTCAAACTTACAGTTTACATAGGTGGTTTTTTTTTTTTTTTTAATGTATTTTAACATGATGATAAGTCACTAGCAGACTGAACAACATACCACAATCAGGATTATCAACAAGCAGGATAACACTTACTTGTAATCTTCGTTTGCTGCAGTAAAAATAAAAGCTTCCATGGGGTTCCAACAGAGTGTATTTGTCCTCATGTTCAAGATAACCTGAAAGACATTTACCCATTGATACCTTGCTGCAGACAGTAAAATACTGGTTATATTTTAAAGCTTCTCATACCACAAGAGATAAGCAAACACCTTCTAGATACATAAGCATGGTAGACCAGTAGCAACATACTTGAGGAGACGTATATTTAGCAGCACTATGATTGGAACTCAAGACTTCCTGCCCCTCAACACGCGATCACTGCAACTAAATTTTACTTTACAAGCCATCTTGAAAGCAAGTACTTCTCATCAGTCATTTATCCAGAAACTAACATGTAAACCTGGATCATCTTAAAGATCTGACTTCATCATATTTACAGCTACATTAATGTATACTGTTAAATACTGTATAAACAAACATGCCTGGGAAATGGTATTTCAGAGAATATTGTCATTAATTAATGCTCTGAACCAGCATCTGCAAAGCTATTATAACATTCTGATGTATAACTATGGGGCACTTTACGAACAAATAGATCATTTTCTGTAACACTGCAGGCCAGCCATAACCCTACTTGAAAATCCTGAAGTTTAAGTATTTCTGCTCTCACTTTACCATATCAAAAAATACACATATACATATGTATAACAAAATACAGTTTTACCAATTATATTTATTAAATAATGAACACAATGTAATACTGATGGCCTCTACCGAACCTACACAAAAAACAAGGATTGTGTCCTTTGAGTGTGTTCATATCCTTATGACTCACATTTTCCATAAATCCTCATTTCCTAGGTGATGTTATTCTGCCCAATATGAAGTCTGTACTGCAAAATACTACTAATTTTCAGAAATTACAGGCATCCAGAGCAGAATGCAATCATCAGCTGTCTGAACTGACCTCAATTCTGAGAGCTGAAATTTACTGAAAGGATAGGCCAATGAAAAACCTTGTGTTTACAGCAGTCTGTACACTAGAATTGGTTCAAATTCCATTATTGTTTTTTTAAATATAAATGATATATAATTATTACAGAAGCAAACAATCTAAGAGGGTTCTTTTCCCTGTTCAAGTTTTCTGGGCACTGCAAAATGATCACAAAACTAACTGAAGCAGACTACAAGTAAAATAAGTCTTTTAAATCATAGCTCAAAGTAGCTCTAATATTTCTAGGAAATCCAGCTTCTATTTCAAAAGGGGTCAGGTTTGGTCAAGGTCCCTGCTCTGTATCTTGTTTCATAATTTATTCTCTCCAACTTACAGCACTCAGTTCATTGCAGCAGTGGCATTTGGAACTAAAAGAGAGCCTAAGAAGAGGACCCTCTGTACAGTTCTGGCATTCTGCATGGAAACCTGGGCTGAGAGTGATTCGTGTCACTGTGAAGACATTAAATAGCATTTCAGAACCATCTAGACCTGTAGCAGTCGCCTTCTACTTTTGACCGATTGTAGATATGCTTAGTCATTAAGCAAGGGAGAAAAAAGAAAAAGAGTCCTTATTAAGACAAGACAGCATTATGAAGGTCCTGAGAACTTGGCTATGAAATGTTTACAGTACATACATAGAGAAGGATTTATCTCCACAAAAAAGAAAAAGACTCCTCCACATGCAGAGCGAGGCTCTCTAGTGGTGGAAAGAAAGTGCCTTAGGAATTACCTTGTTTATTTCTGGCAAGGAGGGGGAAAAAAAAAGAAAGAAAAAAATCACACGTACAGAGAATGCAATACAAGAACATGAAGTTCTGATTGTGAAATTGCTGTCAGGTCAGGCACTTTATCAAGAATTACAATGCAGTGAGCACGACAGCCTGTCTCAATGCAGGAAAAGGCTCTTTTAAGTCTGCATGGTTTAAGTTTCAAAATTTACTCAAACTCAGTTAAAAGACTCCACATTAAAGATGAAAACTCAATGAGATCACAGAGCTTTGCTTTCTCTACCTTTAGCGCTACTTAGACTATTTCATGTTCACTATGATTATTACTGCCAGAAGCTTCTGTTGAAATTCAGAGAACATACCTTCTTTAATGGAGTTGATTGTCTCATATCATACAGCACAATGTTTCTGTCAGAAGCACAGCTGCCCAAAAGGTATGTCTGAATAAACAAATAAATAAATGATCAGTATGTATTGTTTCCTAAGAATTTCTAGTGTAAGCAATAACTCATATCAGATACCTATTTCACTGAGCTGGTAGTCAAACAGCAGTTCCCTTCACTCAAGTAAATATATTACCATTCTTGGCGTGCAGCTAATTCTGAACACTTTAAATAGTTTTTCCAGTAAGTTTCAGAATCCACCCAGCCCTCTTGATAAGTAACACTTTCTAACAGACTTGACTTCAACTACCAGTGCAGCCAGCCTCAGCACTCCATGACCTGCTGCAGAAGATTAGAGGCTGCTGCTCTGCCACAAGAGGAAAAGTTGCTGCCACAAGCGCCACAGATGAAAGCTCCACAACCTCACAAACACTAAGCCACGTAACTGAGATACAGATATGTACTGCTGCAGGCAGAACACAGCCCTCCCTGCTTTGCTTTCTTTTCTCCCCCATCAACAGGATGAAATGATGGAGATAAATGTGCAGTACCACCTTCTAACAGAATATGCCTATGAAAACACATATATAAAGCCCCCTACACATTACACTGAAACACATAACGAAGTTTGTTTGGAAAAAGCAGTTAAAGATAATGTTAAGACAGTTTAGACCTTATGCTTATAAAGAAAAATACTGACTTCCAATACATAACAAAAAAGTTACCTCAATTGGATTAAATTTTACACTGCTTATGCTATCAAAACCCCATGTTAGAGAACACATGGGACTGGTCCTTTGCTCATCCCAGATGTCTACTTGCTGGCCACAGGTGGCAAAAACAGCATCCCTCCAGTGGTGATCAATTCCTGTATACACTGTCTGTAAAGTGGAAAAAAGAAAAAGCTTACAAAACCAAATGTATAAGTAAGTGTTTTCTGATCATTACATGTTACACTGCCATGCTTTTATTTGTTCATATAACTGAAAACCAAGTTACTGTTCCTGCTGGAAACTGAGTCTTATTAGGAGTACCGCTCTACAAAAGGCTGACATTCTGGCCTCTTTCTGTCTACAAGACAGAAATGCATGCATTTATTGCTAGCTTCCAATGGATGGGCATTAGCCACGCTTTGTAAGTGGGCTTCTAACTTCAAAGCAAATGGAATTTTAAGGGTACAAATTTTCAATCAGAAAGTGAGACATAATCACTAGATATAGAGTTTCAAGTTGTCTATTCATAAAAAGCATTCAGTGTTGATAAACTAATTTTAAGAACAATTGAATGTGCTGAAGTATACATTTTTTCATCTGCTTTTGTCAAAAATAAACCAAAACTCTGTTTTGAAATGCTGTAAGATACAGCATTAAAAGAAAATTATTTATTGAAGAATAAGTTTTTACAACACACAGCTGAACAGAAATCAACTACAGAAGATCTGATCTGTTCCCAGGAGAGTGATGACTAGTACAGACAGCACTAAGCAGTCTGCTAACATTTGAGATACTCCTCTCTAGTTAAATATAAATTAGAATAAAATTTTGAAGGTACTTTAAAAGGGTCATTACAAAATTTGATGAAGATTTGATTTGCAACACACTGTGATAACAGGTGATATCAACCTATTTTTCTTTTCTCCAAAAGCTAGGTAAGAATTGACTCAGTTTAATTCAAAAGGAATGTGGGAAATCAATGCTTAGCTATACTACCTTTCCAAGAATTGTATGAATTGGTTCCTCTTCTTCTCCGTATCCTGGGCTCTCCATTTTCCATTGCTTCACAGTTTTGTCATCACCAACCTAGAAAGAGTGAAAAAAGGATGCATTTTACAAAAATATATTCACCAGACATCTGTGCAACTAAATATGAGGAACTTTGCAAACTAGAATGGATTATTAGATTTACAAAAATAAAGTGCTCTCTCTGTTCACCATTCACTTTTATACCTGCAAGAAAATTGGTTTCACTTGTCATAATACTTCACTAAGAACTGATGAAGTTTATACGTGGCCTGGCTGGGATAAAGTTAACGTTCTTCACAGTAGTCCATATGGTGCCAGGCTTTGGATTTGTGGCAAGAACAGTACTGGCAGCACCAGTGTTTTGTCTACTGCTGAACAGTGCTTGCACTGTTATCATCCTTGACGCTCCCATCAGCAAGTAGGCTAGGGTTGGGTTGCAGAAGACTGCAAGAAGACTTGGGGGGAAGGAGGGGAGGAAACAACAGCTGACCTGAACTGGCCAGAGGGGTATTCTGTGCTACGTAATATCACCAATAAAAACTGAGGTAGAGGAATAAGAAAATGTGAGAGAGAAATTGACTTCCAGGTGGCTGCTGCTTATATACAGCCTGCCTGTGGAAGCAGTAGAGCAATTTCCTTTTTATTGCTTTTTAAGCAACAAAAAAAAATTTAAGATTGAAACACGTAAGATTTTTAAATTAAGTTTTATTTAAACCATCTAAGCATTGCTCCCAAAAAATCCTCTATGATCTAGTTGTCACTGTGGATACTTTCCAACTATTAAAGGAGACGCTTCCAGCACTGAATAGTAGAAAAAGTAAGCTGTAAAGAGAAACTAGTTATGTCAGGCTATGTTTCATGATTCTTAATCAGATGGCACCTTGAACTCCATGTTATCTTTTGGGAATCATCTGATTAGCATTTAAACTGTTGTAAGGCACTCCAGTTCAGGTGCTCCAGTTGCGTGTGCCTAACACCACACCGCCTCTCACACTATGCTGAAACAACCTTCCCCATCGCTGCACAGTGACCTGGGCCAGGGAAGCAGACAAAAATGTTAACTATACAAGTCAAACTTCCTCTTCTGACAGTGCTACTTCTGTTTCTTCCTCCCCTCTCTCAATTTTCAGAAAGATTGACTGACAAAGAGTAATTTGGAGTCATTAAGAATTTCCTGCTGAGATATTCCTGACATTGTAACTGGTGTCCTCATAACCTGGTATCTACTTCAGAAGAGATAAATATGTAGTAGTTAAAATAGCTCTTGAGGGAGGAGGCGAGCAATTTCTTTTTTGTCAAGCTCAAAAGATATACAACCTCAGCACTCTACAGTGTTAAAGAAATTAATTGTTTTATCATCACAGAATTGTTCTAATCCAAACAGGAAGACTCACTACTTTCAGACAGCTTGCGTGCAACTCAGTTACATGAAGTTAATGCAAATGAATAAAGCCTTACTCACATAACCTTACTGAACATGATTATCCAATGGAAGCCATCCTGAATTACCTGCCTATCTTTAACGACAGGCTACAGAAATATTTAGAAAAGTAAATACTCATACATCTTCCAATAAATGTAATATACTTGTTGCTCTAACAAAAGCTAGTTTACTCAAAATGTAATTAGATGGCTATCCTCTAGCAATTATCTCTATTTATTTCTTCCATAATCTTCAATTACACCCATAACACAGCACCAAAAAGCATTTTCATCAGAAGCAATTGTCAGGTTCAGAGACAAATTGAATAAAATATAAATAGCTTCAGAATTGGTGCTTGTTAAGTGTTGTACAGAAGAGAAGTTGCCTACTGGAAAACAAACGGTGAACAGGTGTTAAACTACATTAAGGAGCAACAATATACTTACAGTAAAGAATGATGTACCACAGAAACGAGCACACATGCCTCGAACAAAGCCTTCATGGGCTTGGAAAGCACGAATACACTGTCGTTTGGTCAAGTTCCAAATTCTAACCTGTCAAAAAAGCAAGAGTATTCTGTATGTTCTTAAGTTTCCCCCCCCCCCCCCCCACAGCCTGTAACTCAAATACAAGAGCTCACACATGCTGAAACAAACTACCTATGCTGGCTTGAACAACGACCAGATTTTATAATGCTGAAATTATTTATTCCCTTGTTGAAAAAAAATTCTGAAGTGCAACTTTTCACTTCTTATCCCATCTAGACTGTACACTTATTTTTACATTCCCCTATTTTTGAACTAGAATTCTTGCTAAGAAACAACAGCAATCATAGTTTTAGCAAATATAAACTCTTTAAAGTGAAAAATACAAGAAAATAACCTCTGCAACAAAGTGTTCTCAGTCCAGTTGCTGCAGTTCATTTTATACAGATGTCCAGCTTCCACAAGTATTTCAGTTTGAGAAATTGGGCCCATTTAGGAAAAAAAAAAAAAAAAGAAACAGGAGCTCCATTTCCATGTACTGTCAGCACTCAGTACTGCAGTTGCTCTACCAGCAGATAAGAAGTCTGGTTTCACATAAATATATTTCCCATCTCTTCAAAAAAAAAGAGAAGTTCCCCTACACCACCACATGACGTGCATAAATTCTGTAAAAGGCAGAAAGCAGCCAGCTACCCAGAATACCTCTTTAAAATATACAAACCTTATCAAATGAAGAAGTGTGTGAGAGTACAGAGAAGACAGGCAATTCCCTCCCCCCTTGTAGCTGACTCTTAAAGTATCCTTGATTGCTACTTTTAAATATTTATTTAAAATTTCAAGCAAATGAAGAGGTGGTTGTTGTTGTTGTTGTTTTTAAACAATATGCTATACTATTCCACAAAGTTTCTGATCGTGTATCCCTTCCCACATCTTATCTGATGTAATCTTCTGACTGCAGCAGCTCACCTTCTCTGGAGGGGATGCAGGTGCAGAATAGGAAGAAAAACAATTACAGGCTGCAAATAGTCCACATTCACAGCTGCAGTATGAGGAACTGCTGCTACTCACTGCTGAGAGCTGCTGCCTAAAGCTGTTTTAAACTCTGTATGCATTGGGAGGTCACAACCTACAGCTTGAGGAACACTGTCCTGAACTGGGCAAGCTGCACCTTCTGAGAGAAGGTCACATCTGAACAAAAGGTAATATCACAGCTAAAAAAAAAAAACAAAAAAAAAAACCACGAAGTAGGGAGCATTTAACAGTGAAAAAGAAGAAACAGACCTTTTCATTGAAGTTTCTAACTACTGCTTACCTCTCCATCGCATGCTCCAGACAGCACTGTAGACAAACTCTTGGGGTGTTTGACTATGCAATTAACTCCATCTCTGTGGCCATCGAGTGAGCTTAGAAAAGGTTTTGCAAACACCCGCTCCAGCTTTGTTGCATTCAGAGCTCTGACGTACTCACGTGCAACCTCAAATGGATGCAGTGCAGGGTCATAGTTTCTTGGAACTGCAAGAAGAGTAACACAGACATAAGTAATGCAATAAGAACTGTAGGTCAAGGTGAATTGAATTAGAAAACTTTTCCCATTAACTTTCCTGCCAGGTGGGGAGTTTTTGGGACACTGAGATTTTTACACCCAATACTAAGGGCCACCCTGCATTTGTCCATGCAGATACACCTAGCAAGAAACTGGGAAAGACAGCGGGCATTGACAGGGTGCTTATGGTGCTACCTGCTCCATTCTGGTTTGTGCAAAAAGGCTGAAAGCGCAATGGAGCAAATGACACCAGATCATGCACCAGAAAGTAATCCCTAGTTCAGCCTGCTGACTTCCAAAGGATATCTGACACACACTAAAACCTCTGAAATATGATGAAATTGAATTGTGTACCACCCTGTCACACGACAGAGAATTTGTTTTAACAGCTTACAGACTAATCACACCAGGAAAATAAAGATGTGTTAAGTTCCTGTCCCAGCTGGTGACTTTAATCTTTTTCAGTGTGTTAGTTACAAAGCCACAATGAAATAATTACGAATAACTGGTATGACAGCACAGCCACTTATCTCTGAATCAAACCAACAAAGTACATGCACTTTAAACTGCTGTGGGCCTAACATCTCGCTTAAGATGGCTGCATAAAACCAAGCCCCAAGATCATACTATGGCTTGGGTTGGAAGAGACCTCAAGGCTCATCAAGTTCCAACCTCCCTGCCACATGCAGGGCCACCAATCTCCAGATCTGGTACTAGACCAGGCTGCCCAGGGCCCCATCCAACCTGATCTTGAACACCTCCAGGGACGGGGCATCCACAACCTCTCTGGGCAGACTGTGCCAGCACCTCACCACTCTCTGTAAAGAACTTTCCCCTGACATCCGACCTAAACCTTTCCTCCTTGAGCTTAAAGCCATTCCCCCTTGCCGTATCACTATCTATCTGAGTAAAAGGCTGACTGCTCTCCTGTTTATAATCCCCTTTTAAGTACTGGGAGATATGGTCCTGCTCCTTCTGACAAGGGCTGCTGGTTTTACACATTTGATTTCTCACACTAAGGAGAAGTTGTGTCTCATTTTCAACATCTCAGAGGTGAAAAGGTGTGATCACGCAAGAAGAATTGTGACAAATACCAGGAAAAAAAAGAGCGAAAGAGCGCCAGTAAAACCAGCAAGACTCTGCCAATCTTAGTATAGGATGCACTGCACGATGAGGCGCCAGCAAAGAATCAGCAACAAGTACAAAACGTTCCTATGAGTAACCACGCAGCACTGAGGGCGCCCCACGAGAACCAGAACCGGGACGAGAAAGCGCCGCGCAGCGCTCGCACCCCGCGGCCATAGGAGGAGCGCGGGAGCCCCCGAGCAGCGCATGGCGGCCCAGCCAGAGCCGCCCTCCCTCCATCTCTCCCTCTGCTCTCACCGCGCTGCAGATCCAGCTTCGTCTCCCGGACGTAGTCGTCGGGATTGCGGCTCAGCACCTTCACCCGCATCCTCACGGCCGAGCACGCACACGGGCACGGACACCCACTTCCGCCTCGCCGCCCAACGGCCACCTCCTTCCCCTACACGTGACCGGAAGAGCCGGGCCCGCAGCTCTCGGCGCGGTCTCGCGAGACGCGGAGCGGCTCGGCGCCGAGATCGCCGCCGGCGGGGATGAGCGCGGCGCCGGGTGCCCGGGGCCATGCGTGCGCCGTTGGGCCGCCGGCGTCGCCCGCGCGCTCCGTGCTGCGGCACGTGCAGCTGGAGAACCTGGCGGCCGGGCTCAGCGGCGGCGTCGTGTCCACGCTGGTGCTGCATCCGCTGGACCTGGTGAAGATCCGCTTCGCAGGTGAGGCCGGGCCGGCGGCTGTGAGATGCTGCGTTCCTACGGGCGGAGCGTTCGGCCCGATCAGAGCTGCCCGGGCTTCTCGCTGTCACGGCCGTGGGTGCAGCAGGACGGTCTATTGGTGGCGGGCGGCTCGTCCACGGTCCGCCCTCAGGCGCAGCGGTTACGTTTTAGTCCTGTGGGTAACGGGGTCGTGTTGCTAAGCAGAGAACTCTGCCTTGCTGGCTGTTCCTTATGGAAACAGCTCCTCGCCTGCATGGTGACGCTACTCCCATTATTCCCCTCTGTAGAGATTTTGCCATATTTTTGCCGAATGTTCTTCGGCATCTTACATTCACTTGTGGTTGTTAAAAATGAAATACTGTACTGTGGAACATACAAACGCTGATGCAGTACATTCTAGAGTGAAGTCCAGAGGCGGGCCCATCTCCCTGTCTAGCTCTGAAGCACAGGCCTGTAGCACAAAGCAATGTGTTGGAGCAGCTCCCACGGAGGCAGCAGTGCTGACCACAGTGCCAGCTGAGGCTAAGCTGACAGACAGCAGCAGTTCACCCTCTGGAGTAACTGAGGGCACAGAGAGGATGAAGCCAGATCTTCTTAGAGGTGAATGGTGAGGGAACAGGGACTAGCTTGAGCTTGGAAAATTCTAGTTTGTTATTAAGAAAAGTGATTTTTCACTATGGAAGTGATCCGATACTGGAAGAGGTTGCCCAGAGAGGCTGTAGTCTTTTCAGCCTTAGAAACATTCAAGAACTAACTGGCGTGCCCCAACGAAAGCAGGTCTGTTTTGAAGAGAGTTGCATTAGATAACCTCTGGAGGCTCCTTCTAACCTAAGTTAGTCTGTGCTTATTGTAATGCTATAATGGGGGAAAGTACTGAGATAATTGCAAGGTAATAAAGTTTTTGTCTGTAGCAAATGAGAATGATCTCAGATGCAACAGTCACAGAAAAGAAGGAAAAGAACCACTTACCTTTGGAAGGCCTCAAAGATCTCCAACAAGAGATACTCTCACTTCCTCTGCCAACCCTTAAATGTGGTCTGGGAAGGGGTGGAGCCAGGATCCACCCCTTCTGGACATTCAGATGCATTGCATGCACCTGAGCTACCCTGGGTTGGCCCTTGCTGCCTGCCAGGTGCTCACTGTTTCAAGGCATGACTTAGCATTTCCACTTTATGTTTATATGACAGTTTGGGTTTTTTCCTGATGTCTGCTTGTTAGGTTTTGGTTGGACTCATGAAAACTATAAGATCTTAAGTCTGTGCCTTAATTAGAGTAGCTCCTGCATTGGTTGTTGATCGTTGGTAAAATAATTGATCAACAGACAGATCTGCAACTATGTCTTTGATTTCCTACTTGTTTAATGTGCTTATAAGCCTGATTTAATGGCAGCATGATTTAAAAAAAACAAATTGCAAAGGTCTTTCAGAAAGGTCCAGCGCTACTCAGTCGGGGGGGGAAGAGCTTTTACATAGGTGACTCTAAAAGTAATACCTCCTGTTTATTTCCATGGAAACTACAACTGATGCAAAGAGCACAATAATAGTATTTGATGGAGGAAATTCTCAGCTACAGAACACATTTTTCCAACATAATCACCACCATTATATGTGCATTTTCACCAATGATGAACTTGTATGACACCCTTGTAAAAATCTGCAGCAGCACAGGTGATCCACTGTCACTGCTGTAACACACCACCCACCACCCTACTGTGCTCACCTCCACTGCTTGGTTTCCGTAAATGTTCAGAAAGCATTGATGAATGTCAGCAGGTGCCATTTTTTTTCACCTGGAGGAATTCAGTGGCACATCTTTGCTTCATACGCACTTTCATGTCAGACACCACTCTGTCAGACTGCCCCTCTGCTGCCATCTGTCACATGGCAACAACATATAGCAGAGTATGGTTGGGAAGGTTCAACCTTGCTGCTGTACCACCACCATCTGCTTCTGATGTCATGAGCCAACATAATCAAACAGGAGGAATTACTTTTGGAGCCCTCAGTTTGTGTTTCAGTTTTCAGCGATTGTCAGCATACACAGACCTTGTCTCAGTACGCTCACAAAAAAAGCATTTTGTGTGTGCTGAAGTCTGTCAAAATATACAGGAGGAATGAATGCAGTACTGAACAGAAAACATCTGAAATTAATGATTAATGTCTTGCTGGGGTATAGAAATGATGCTGACTGTAAAACTTCAATCTCAAGTAAAATTTCAATCTAACTTTCTGCCTAAATGAGGAGTACAAGTGCCTGCAATTGACACTGTCATCAGTAATCATCAAATTGCCTTGCTGTTGTGACAGCAGGAGCTGTCCTTACTGCTGCAAGTTGTGTGAAATCTGTGTTCTAAACAAAACCTGTCAAGCAAAAGTTTGCATTGTCTTTGTCCTGTTGGCAGTGACATTTTATGAATATTTGGCCAATATTTGGTTATTAGGTAGAATTGTGTTTATTTGATGTTTTCCTGTAAATCAATACAATGAGAAAAGAAGAGCATAAGAATTTATGATGAAAGTAACCTTTGAGTGTTGGCAGAAACTAACTTTGGAATCAATAACACATGACCTATTGGAAATACCTGGGACTTTATAGAAGATTCACAAGAAGATTTAACTTCAAGAATTCTTATTTAGGAGTTTCCCAAACTTGTAATAGGAACTTTTTCTCGAAGAGTCCATGCAAATCACTTGAGATATGATATGAAATTCTTGGGGTGCTAAGAAGAGGACAGAAAACTACAGGTCAAAGCAGCTGCTCTCCAAAAACGCCCATCAGTGCAGTTAGTCTTCTCAGACTGATGAGAACTTTCCTCCTGCAGGGCTTAGAAGTTCTTTTTTCTTCCTTCTTTCACGTTCTCTTAGACTAGAATTACTGAAGCTGTAAACCCCACGTTGTTGCGTGCTTTTAAAATACAGCAGATGAATGAAGTATTTACGTTGGCTTGCAGCACTGTTTGGAGGCCGTGTGCTGTGGGCTGGCTTTTACACGGTTGAACCACTTGCTTCCTGCAATGTTTTTTCAGTGTAATTTCTTTCTTTCATAGTGAATGACGGATTGGAGCTGAGGCCAAAATACAATGGGATTCTCCACTGTATGACCACTGTCTGGAAGCGTGAAGGACTACGAGGCTTGTACCAAGGGGTAACTCCCAACATGGTGGGAGCAGGGGCTTCCTGGGGACTTTATTTTTTCTTGTAAGTAAAACTGCGTCAGATCCTATGCAATGTCATGTTCAGATACAAACAGCACCCTTCTAAACAGGTATAAAAATGGGCTAGATGGCTTAGAAACTTGCAGTCCTCTTTGTATGTCCAGGCCTTTGACTCATCGTTATGATTTGCTGTTTCATAACATGAGCAGTTGGAGTCAGAGACCTGTTACTTTATCAAGTACAGTGCATTCCCCTCAATGCTGTGAAAACACCAAGAACTTGAGAGATGTGACATCATTTGAACTTTAAAAGTTCAAACTGTGCTTAAAAGCACATGGAAAAAAAAAGAATCTGAACTGGTATGTTAAGAATCAAAGAGCATGATAAAGTTCTTTACTAAAGCTGTATAGTCAACCGTTTGTTGTTTTCTTTAAATAATTTTGACAGTTTTTTCCATTGTTTTTGTTGATGTGCTTTGCTTATAAAATAAGCAAATTTCTCAAATATAAAATAAGCAAAGTTCTCAAATATTCGGTATTTTCTACTCCAGTAGTTAACTGATCTGATTGACTGCTGGTCACTATTAACTGAAACATTTTTGAATGATCACTATTAACTGAAACATTTTTGAGAATGATTGCTTGGCATCCTTCTGCAAAGCTTACGTGTCAGTTGTGTAGATTGAACTATTGTTGGACTTCAGTCCTCAAGCTTCACTGTAAGCTCCTATCCACAGTTCAGCTCCTTCAATGCTGAGTGGCACTTTTCAAACCACAAATATTCAAATCAGACCAAGAGATGAAAGCTCAGTGAAATTAGAAAGTAAATAACTACCAGTGTTGGTTTTAATAAAAAGAAGACTGTCTAGCCTAGTTTTTTTTAGAAGTTAATTCTTGAGACCAAGTAGCTGTTTCAAGATCTAGTCCCACTGATTCCTTCAGTAATACTTGATGAATTTAAGTATGTATTGCTATGGTTCAAATTGTTAATGAATTCTTCAATTCATCAAGCAAACAATGATAGTTAGCTTAGAAATCCTTTCCAAGGTTATCTATCACCTAATGTTTTTCCTGATGGTAAGTTTTGCTTTGGTGGGTTTTTTATTTTTTTGTTAGTTTGGTTTGGCTTTGTTTTTTAATTGTTTTTTTTCACCTTTACTAAAATATGTCTTATAACTGTGAACAGTTACAATGCCATCAAAGCTTATAAGAAGGAAGGGAAGCTGGAGAGTCTCACTGCAACCGAACACCTGGTATCAGCTGCAGAAGCAGGTGAGTTAAATGCAAAAAAGATGAATGTTTTCTTCTGGCCTGTCCATATGCTGCTCTTTCTCTTTGTGTGTCAGTGCTGGTTTTACTCCAGGTGGCAAGTGTAAGTGTTTGAGTCCAAATGCTTATTGTCTATAAATGAATTAATGATGTCTAGAATGAATGGATAGTTAACTGTGGTCCTTTCAGTTTTGCTCAGAAGTAGCAGTTGTTAAGATACCTTCTGGTCTTGTTTTCATTATACACAAAGCTTGAGGTTTTTTTCCGTATTTAGTACAACGCTGAGTCTCTAAACATAACTATTTAAATTAGCTGTTATTAGATTGTTAACTCATTAAACATTAAATGCTTAGATCTGGAGAAGAGAAGGCTTATTGAAATTAGAAGTGAATTTGCCATAGATCTTTTGAAAATCTTTATGTAAATTCTAGGTTTTCTTAGAAACTGTAAATCCAAAATAAAAGTACAATTTTACTCATCGTGACTTTGAATACTTTGTTTCTAACATACTTGATGTGCATGCTTCTGTGTAGGCAATTTAGAAGATTTTTTTATTAGGATGCTAAGGCAGTAATTTACTGTTGAAATATACTGTTCAAATGTATATTGTATTTCAATAGTCTTTGTAGCTACAAGAAGTTGCTTGTATAAACATATCAATACAATTAAGTAAATTTCTCATGACTGAGCTGTCCATTGAATTTTGAATAATTGTATATATAAAGACAATAAGAAAGCCTAATGAAAATAGTGAGGTTTCCTATCTATTACAGATGGCACTACTGACTGTGGAACAGTGAAGCAAAAAAGAGCATATGCTGAGAATGTTAAAAAAAAGCTATGTGCTCTATAGAAGTACTCTCTGCATGAGTAGTTCATACTTGGTATTGAGCTTTGAAGGCAGAGAGAGAAAACAACAGTGTGCCTAAACTTTGCCTCTTAGGAGTAATATGAGTACTCTTGAAGGATAAGTAATTTTGTCATTGTAGAAGCCCGTGTTACATTGAACTGAACAAACTGGGACAAGCTTTGGCATGGGCAAAACAGTCTAACTTCCATCTGTTCTCAGGAGCCATGACTCTCTGTATTACAAACCCAATATGGGTAACGAAGACGCGACTTGTATTACAATACGACGCTGGTGTTGATCCCTCAAAGCGACAGTACGCAGGAATGTCTGATGCTCTTATAAAGATATACAGGACAGAGGGCATACGTGGCTTGTATAAGGTAATAACATTTAAGAAAACCTCAAGGATTGACTGGTACCAGTCAGTAGTGCTGTGATGCTTGCACATATTTGTCTCAAAAAAACCTGCAAGTCATTTTTGTACTGGCTTATTTTTATTCTTAGTCAAAGCAAAGATTACAGGAAAGGCTTAATCTTAGGAGAAGCAATTACAGTGTTGAAAGGTAGGGAATCATTGAAGAATAGAGTGTAAGTTTTATGTCTAAGCCATCTTCTGAAAATACTGAAATGAGGGTAAACTACAAGCTCTTTGTAATTGCTTAGAGTCTTCTCATAACTAAGATTTGGATAAAGAGGGCAGCCATAGTCTAATCTATAGTGCTTCTAGTGCTTTCTTTCAATTCATCTCTTATCTTTGTCTTTCTGACATTTTGTACAATATAACATGACTAAAGTACTTGCTAATGTTTTGTCTACAATGGACACTTTCACAGCTGCTCATTTGCCCCCTAGTTATTTAGGTCTGTAATCTGTCATCTCAAGATGCATAAAATTTGCAGACTTCTGAATATGTTCTGCATATGTGTGGGGTTTTTGTTCCCTTTCATTTAGGGAAACAGATGGGAACTGGATTTGGCTTTTTTTCCTCCTTCTTCCTTCAGGCCATTACATCAAGATGCATTCATCAGTCCCTGGAAGGTGTGAAGAAACCTATTTCAGTTCAGGCTGGCTCTTCTCTTGCAAGTAGTGCTATAGAACCAGAACACTATCTCTCAGGAATTGTCCTGATGACTGGGCATCAACTTCTATTTGCAGTGAAAAATATAGGCTGAAGTTTTCAATCACCATGAGTTGCAGGAGATGTAATGCAGATGAATGTCTTCTTTTTCCTCATGACCTTATTTTTCAGGAAGAGTTCATTGTAACAGATAAGGAAAACGGCACTGCAAATTGGAAATAAAATCTTCAAATAGTTGCTTTCTGATGCATTTGAGATCACTCTTTGGAAAACTAGTGTTGTCCTCCAGCAATTCCATGTCTTGCTCTCTGTTGTACTGCTGCTGGTCTGGGCAATTGTTGTTTGTCCTTTGTGGCAAAGCCTAGTAATGTAAAGCTGTACCAGTCTTGTAGCGATCAGTGCTGTCTGTTAGGTATTGTTTTTTTATTAAACTGTAGTTTAAGTGAAGTTGTGCTTCTTGAACTTTGCCTGGATTTGTAGAGAGATAAAAGCCTTTCTTTCACTGGTCATCCCAGTAATCTAGTCAGAGATCTTCCACACCCTCCATCCATAGGCTTTGTCCTCTGGCCTCCATCCCTGAGACAGCTGGGATCAGAGCTGCTCTGCTGCATCCAAGCTAGGAAAAAGAAAAAAATCCACCTTGTGGTGATGCAATTTGAAGATGCCTAATAGATCTGTTGGAGATCTGAGCTCTGAAAAGTACCTTGCCTCACAAAGTTGAATGTCATGCAGCCATCAGCACGTGTTGCTCTTCAAGTCTAAGGCACAAGAGATCAAACATTTTAAAACAGTCCTAAGACCTTAGGAGTTCGCACCTTGGGGAAAAACATAAAATATCCTTGAGCTCTGGACAAAGTGCTTGCTTGCTGTCTGGTATAGGCTGACTACTGTAACGTCAGATGGTAATATTGTCCTTGGCCTCCATGCTTCTTTATTTGTATTTTCAGTTTCATTCTTTTTCATTGGTGATGTAGAGGCAGCAGTTAGAGCAAAGCTTATAGAAAACAGTAACAAAAATGGGAAACGCAGGAAGTTTAAGGAGATTTAAAATGTAGTGTTGTATAATCAATGGATATCAAGATGTTACAATCACAATATAATCAAGAGAGTTAGGCAAAGTGGACAATGATAACAAAAGAGAATAAATGGAAAGCTTACCCTTATGCTGGGCTCACCTACAAAACACCAGAAGAAATCCTTCCCCTCTGGTAGCCAGCTCTTAAATAGGTCTAGGAGGGGTGCAGCCTGGCTCCCCCCCTTCCGGCAGCACAGGTGAATTGCCTTCAGCTGTGCTCCTCTGGCTGACTCATGGCTCATCTCAGGTGATCAATCAGAGGTTCAGGCCGTGACTCAGCAGTTCCCATACAAGCGTCAAGACTGAGAATAATAATGCAGTGTGCTAAGAACAACCAAAGAAATCCTAGCAGTGCTATATGCTCATTACCAAGTGAAAATAGGATATATTGGGCACTTCTGTTGGACAGTTTAACCTCTGGTAGGCAATATTATATACTCTGAGGATAAAGTATTTTTTCCAGTCCATTAATGTCTAAAACACTTCTCTATTTTGCCATTTTTTTCGCTTGCTATTTTCCTCCTTGCAAATGTGAAGTTTGTAAGCTAAGTGACTTACTATTTCTTTGTTTTTGCATATAGCAAAGTCCACTGGGCTCTGATCATCTTGCATTTAAATGTAGTTCAGAGAGAAGAACTTTCCATAAAAGATGCTATCATTCTTTGCCTTGAAAGAATCAAGATGGCATAAGAACATAATGGCATTCTTCCAGAATCTTTCTGCACAAGTTGTCAGAGCAGGGCAGTCTAGTACTGCTAGTCTTTGCTATGGAGACCCAACTGAAGATGGTGCTACACCGACTGCAAGGGGAATCTGCTACGTTTCCTCTAAACATATAGCAGAGGCTGCTCTGGCATGAGCTCTCACAAACACTTCAGGCAGTATCCTGAGTATTTCTTCACTTTGTCCCCTGCTTTTATCAAGAAGCACAGGCTTTGCTCTGTACGTTTGCCTAGGTTCTTTTTCTTTTTGGCGATGACATCTGAAATGCAAACCAACTGGATGCTTTTCTCTTGTTCTGGATCTTCCACACTTCTAGTTGTTTAAAGACATATTTTTTTAATCCATATGATTTATTGTTCAGAGTTAAATGCTTTACCATTTCCATGTCTGATAACATATTTGTGTCCATTCATCTAATCCTCCCAGATGGAATTCAAGCAGGACTTCTTTGAGCAAAGATTGATTCTCTGAAGCTCTCATGAAAAAACTCTTTTAAATATATGTTTTGACTATTAAAAATAATAAATATATTAAGAGATATGATTTTTTCTAATTATCTTCACTTTACAGTCATACTGTAGCTAAAAAATAAATGGCAAACTTTCAAAGAAAAAGAAGGTATTTGTGTGAAATTCCAAAAATAAGAAAATTGAGTAGGATTATCATTCCAAAACTTTCTTAGACATATTTAATTAATGAGAACAAATCAGTTTTGCCTTGAAACGTTTTTCCCTAAATTAACTCAAATTCCTCCTTTTTTATGATCAATAGAACCATCTGTCAGTTCTTATTTTGCTGAGGGTGACTGGCAGACAGTTGTCTCACTTGTCCTTCCTCCTATTTTAATATTGGCCTGCCATTAAAGGTTCTTCAGTGTTTGAAAGTTTTCCCCATCACTTGGAAGACTTGGAGCATGCTGGTATTCATTTAGCAAATGTCATCAGTAGATACTCTAGGACTCTTGGGAGCAAGTTATTCAGATTTGCTGGCTTAAATTTAAGAGTTGAGCATTCTTAAGTGTTGTTTAACATTCTTCTCTTGTTAGTGGGGAAAATTTTACCTAATTCCCCTATGATATACATCATTCTCATGCTTTCCAAGTAGAAAGCAATTATTTTCTCTGTCTTACAACATTTTTACTGTAATAATAAGCATACAGTTAGGAAGATTTTCCCTGCTATCACTACAGCATTTCATACTGTTCATGGCTCTGCTGACCCACATGATTTTTTCTTTGGTAATTTCAATAAGTTTGTTCTTTGTCTGTTCCTCACGTTACTTTTTTTTTTTTTTAATTATTATTTATTACCAGTGAATTTTCTTTCTGATCCAGGTTTTCTGAAAACCAGAATTGTCCTTTCTCATCATGTTGTGGCCTTTAACTTGACAAAATTCTATGGTCATGCTCACAGTTGACAAAATACAGATTTTTGGTTCAATTCCACATGTTCACATTTGGGGAACTATTTTGTTTCTTTTTTTCCAATTTTTGTACATAGTGATATGAGACTTTTGTTAGCCCTCAATTCATTTCATTGGGTTGTGGTTCCTGACAGTTTATGACCATTGTTTTCTACTGTGAGAAGAAATTATTTCTCATCTATTAAATAGAAGCCCTAAAAATCAATACCTGAATGACTATAATATCTTGAAGAAATCTATAGCTTTCAGAGAGCTAATCTCTGAAGTGATAGAGGCTCTGCATGATTTTTATGCCTGCTGGTTTTGGTGTGTTTTGTTACAATTTTTCTTTAAGTTAGGGGTTTATGATTAATTTATCTTTTTGTCCTGGTACACAGTGGACATTCCAATGGACCAGGATTGCTTCCCTTCTCTTCCTCCAAGTTTAGTAATATGTTCATTTGTCTGCATTCAGTGTTCTTTGCTTGCAGTTTAATCTAATATAGAGATTTGTGTCCGGACATATATTTTATATTGCTCTATCTTTCCTAAGTGGGTCATGGAAAATAAGATAAAACTGTTCAACGCTAGCATTTTTTGAGAAGTTTTGGTTCTTTGAGTCCTTTTACCCACGTTTTGATCATTCATCCCATTATAAATTTTCCCTTTGCAACAGTTTTCAGCAAGCTTTTGGCTTGTATGAATCATTTCCAGTCAAGATGATTAATTCCCTATTTATTTGCATTTTTCCAACGTAAGGCCCAACTTTCCCAAAAGAGAATGCTTCTCAGAAGCAACTGTCAGCTCATTTTCAACTGAGCTCCTCCTGCTCCTGAAGAAACTCATGCCTTCTACTTGGAGAGACACTTCCAACAGTACCTGTTTTCCACCTTCACTTCAACTTCTTTGAAGACAAAGGTTTCTGTAGATTTCTGTGCTATCCTCTTACTGTCCATTACTGCTCCTCAGAGGCAGGTAACATTTCCCCCTGGCTTAGGGAGAAGAAGGCTGAGGGGAGGCCCGATTTTTTTACGATTTGTGCTGGTGCTCTGTTAGGTGCAGTTCCCAGGCCACTTGTTTTGTCTTGTTTGCTCATTAAGTAACTTACCTGTGTGTCACCTGGAGAAAAGTAACATTTATTACACTTTTGATGCCTGCCTTCAAGAATATCAACCGAGCACACCAACAGTTGTGCAATCTGTTTTTAATGGAATGGTCGACATTTGTATGTGCATAAAATGAACTCTGTCATGTTACGTACTTCTTTTGGATTGCTATTCAATCTTGTCTTAACCTTTTTTTTCTTCTTTAGGGATTCGTTCCTGGTCTGTTTGGAACTTCACATGGAGCACTTCAGTTCATGGCATATGAGGATTTGAAACAGAGATACAACAAGTACAGAAACAGAGTGTCAGACACAAAATTGGTAAAATTATTAATAATAAAATATGTTGTGGCATGGGAACAGGTAGAGATTTATTCCAGTCAGTTAGATCATAGAACAGTCAAGTTTATAAAGTATCGATATGTTAATTGAAATGTGGAATATATGAAAATGATGATTTGTCACTTTGGGAACAAGCAACTGGTTAGCTCTGTATTTGTCTAGAGAAATCACCTTATTTTGGCAAGTGTCCAGAGAATTTTAGGGAGAAGAATGGTTTCTGAACACCAATCGTAGGTAGCCTTTTTAAACAGTTGCCCATAGGACCAGATAGGAGCAAACTCAGTGAAGATACTGCTGCTTTTGGAACACCTGACACACTTTTCTAGAAGTGTTTTGCTTGATAGGAGTGAGAAGGCAAAACATATTTTAAAATTGGTTACCTGAGCATTCTAGACAGTAAATATTGTTAATTTCTTAAATAAGTTTATTGTAAAGGGGAAAAAAGCATTGTTTAGTTAATATATTTAAAAATCAAAGAAGATTTTGGAAAATTGTCTATTTTAAGCCCTGGTTAAGGAAAGCTTGTTCATTTTTGTTGGTTTTAGAACACTGCAGAATACATAATGATGGCAGCTGTATCCAAAATATTTGCTGTAACAGCAACGTATCCCTATCAAGTTGTACGGGCTCGTCTTCAAGATCAGCATAATAGATACTCTGGTGTGTTAGATGTGATCCGCAGGACATGGAGGTAGGCATACAGAATTATAAGTTTGCACCTGGAAAAGTGAGCCTTCAGAATCACCATGCTTACTGCCTTCCATGCTGAATGGCTATCTCTATGAAGCCATTATGTGGAATATGCTACTAATAGCTATTAACTAAAAATGAAGAGGTATGTGATGGTCAGTGCTGGCTTGCAGACTTCTGTTTTTTGATCTGCCTCTTCATCATCTTCCCCAACAAATTTTGCTTACAGAGTAGCAAGGTTAAAAAACCAACATTGAGTTGGCTGCTTTGTGGTTTGTAAAGTAGTTAAGTCTCATTAACTCATTATGAAATCAACAAACACGGCCTAGGTCACCAAGGAGAGCAGTATCTTGCATACCCAAGCATTTTCCAGGATCTCCTTTGACTGCTCATCATTCTGGGTGTACCAGAGCCCTGTGAAACTGGAAAAAAGTGAGCTGAAATGAGAAGTCTTGGAAACACTCTAACACCCCTAACAGTGAATACTGTGGTTCAAAATGGGAGAAGCTGAATTCTCATGTACTGGCCAGTGGATTCAAAATGCTGGAGGAGGTGCTTTATTTCTCTAAAAATGAGTGCTGACTTCAGCAGCTGAGTTAACTTAGTTGTGTTCTCCCTCAGCTCCCTTGCTGTTAAATGACTCAAAACCATAAAGCCCTTCAGCCCTGTTGGCTTCAGGGAGCTTAAATCTGCAAATTTTTTTGGAAGTGCAGAAATTTAAAGTTATTTTAACTACTTCTTGTGGTATGAAGAAAGATAGCATAGCATCCTATTTAAAGAATTCATTTTAAAAAAGACAAAACAACAACAGAATCACCACCCAAACCCTAAGCTGAACAACTCATCTACAGAACATTATTGTATGTTCAGAAAAGAAAGTGAGATTTGATATAATGATCCTTTAAGCACTTCATAAGAAACTGTTCTGAAATTATTATTCTTACCCTGAAGTACATCTCCCTCAGTGAGAGAAAAACACCAGGCTTTGTTTTATGTCTGATTTTTATTTAAAATATCTGTCTTTAAAGGAAAGAAGGAATCCATGGATTTTACAAAGGAATTGTCCCCAATGTGATCAGAGTGACTCCTGCGTGCTGCATTACCTTCGTAGTTTATGAAAATGTGTCAGGTTTTCTACTTGGTTTTAGAAAAGAAAATAACTAAAGGTAAAAGTTTCTATTCATAAAAAATATATCAACATATCTTTATTTTTTTATATTTATGATCTGGAAGATAATTACTTCAGCAGCTTATTTTGACACTGTGAATTGATCTGGTATTTTGAGGAAAGGATTGTGAGATAGTGAAACCCTGCCTACATCCCCTCTGCTGAGGGTGCCTGTGTTGCTGCATTCCTCTCCCTCTGAATCAGCAGTGTCTGCTCAAAACAGATGTCTGCAACTGTGAAGTAGCACTGTGCCTGGCTGAAGGCAGATGTGCAGCATTTCACCTCATCCTGGCCTGCCTGGAATAACGGACTAATCTGCTTGACAGGTCTCCAGATAACAATTGGTCAGATTGTACTACAGAAAACTTCATATAAAAGCAATTCCTGCGTCTGAAACATCTGAACTCTCTTAAGTCTTTATCTGAGTCTCATGAAGAAAATTTGTATGTAACTGCTTACAACAGTGTCTACAGAATCCATTTTTGTTACTTGTGAGATTTTAGGTTATGGAGTGCTCCATGTTCCATCGCTCATCCGACACAAAAAATGCAGCCTCAGTGGGGTGCAATTTGGAAACTCAGATTGCTTTGTAAAATGGTCAGCCGTCCACTCCTGGTTTGCAGTAATTGCAAATTGAAATCCACTTCTTGTCTCATACCAAGACAGAGTTGCAGTGTGGTTTTTGGCTTGTTTTTAACACCAGACCAAAGTCTGTTGTGCACATTGTTGGCAACTTAGTTCATTTGATTTCTCATCGCCCCACCCTCCTCAGCCACAGCTCCAGGACTGGTACATCTGACTAAATGCTCCTTATTTGAAAGGAGGCTTACTTAAAAAAAAAAATAATAATAATCCAAATAATTCACTAGTGATGCAGTTTTAAAGCAACTTTAACAAAGACTGGTCTTTGGAAAAAAAAAATCTATAGGTTTTCTAAAAACTTTGTGCACAGGGCTTTCTTAAAAAACATCTGATTTAGTCTCAGAAGCGACTAAGACTATTGCTATACAGCAGTAAGCTGAATTGCAGTATGTTTCAGTGTGGTTGAATAATAATGTTTATTTTTATTCCAATAATTGCTGACAGACAGAGGTGTTTATTGGAGACTTGGGTTTATCTGTTGTAGTTCATTATTAGGGAAATAATTTACTGAGCATAACATTTGCCTTCTACTGTGAGTATGAAGGAGTATCAGATATTATCAACTGAGAAGGAAAGAAGGTAGGAAACATTTTCAATAGTTGAGGGGGAATAATGAGTTTTATATGAAGCAGAGAATATTTTCATCTAGCTAAAAATCTCAATAACCACTTAGAGAAGTTGTTTTACAGAAAATAACCCAGAGCAGAAATAAGACTTTTTTTTTTTAATTAAAGAGTTGGTTTTACTCTAGTTAAATTTGAAAGTCTCCCAAAACCTGCTCGGTATTTTGAATCTCAGTTCAGCAACCTGGTTGCTTGTTTCTGTTGATACTATTGCCATGCTTTGGGTGTTTGTTTGTTTGTTTTTTAGTAACACAGCTCCTCTTCCCCAGTCCCATCCTCTCTGCTGTTACAGTTGATAATACATTGTTATCTCATCTGAGAAAGCTGACTGGCTATTTTTAAATTATTATTATTATTATTAGTAAAGCTTCCATTGACATTTAGATGAAAATCAAAATTTACCAGAAGTTTACTGTGCAAATTAACAAAGTCTTAATAGCTACTACTTTCTTTTGCCTTTGGAAAGCTTTTACATGGGTTTCTGTGTTTTCTAGTATGCAGGGTCCAAAATATGCAGTGAATAAACCATAAAAAAGTAATAAAAGAAGTCACGCACTTACTTCCCTGGAGCAGTGTGTTCCAGACCTGAACGGGACTTGAGATGCAGGATAAGCATAAAGACAGGTCACTAGGACATACACAGTTGTTGTTGCTGACTAACGTGCAGTAAATTCACACCATGGCTTAGCTCATAGTGTCTTAGCTCACACTATCTTCCCAACCAATGAAACAGTAACAGTTCTCCAGAGACAAAGAGCAGCTGAGCAAGGTGCTGGCCTGCAGTAGCATCACACGTAAGCTCACGGTGAGGAAAACCTGAATGCTCTCTTACCTGCAGGTGTGTTCCTCTTTTAAAGGTGCAGATGAACTAGCAATTTAAGACATGGCTGGGGAAAGTTTTATAACCTGTTTAGAAGAAAAGCTAGGATTTAGTATCAAATAGCTAAAATAAATCCATCTCTCAGATTTAATGCTTTTCCATTTAATTTCTGGACAAGGTATATTTCTGCATGTTATACATGCTTTTTGTTTTTCTTATTGCATTTATGTGAAATTTATTTTGTAATGTAAACACAATTATATTTTCCCTTTAGAATCTGCACTTTTTGATGGTTTGAGTATATCACTTACTGTGTTGGGAAGAGAATCCTTAAAGCACTGCTGCTAATGCTGCACTAACTCCAAGGCACACCATGGTCAGTGCTGCCACTCCTCATTTCTTCTCCACTTTGGAGGCTGCAGTCAAATATCTGCAACATCATTCTTTCAGCTGAGCAGTCCACTTTAGGAAAGCCAAGGCATTTCAGCCTGCCTTACTTCTGTAGCTTCCAAACCACTTCACATATCCAGCTTTCACACCAAAGTGATTGTGTATATCTGACAGGCTAAACTCAGGAGAACTATTTGTTGGGGAAATGAAACCTGAGTTTTGGAACTGTAAAAATACTCTGGTTTTTTTTCACAGATGATTAATAGATATTTGCACTGAAATCTGGTCTCTCAAGTGCAGGAGGGAAGTAAAGCTTGGATAGTCTGTTTTTACTTAGTTGTTCAGAACATATTTAACACTCACTGATCGTCACCAAGGTGCCAGTTAAGTCACAGGAGGTTGCTGGGAGACGTAAGACTTTAACAGCAGAGTATCCATTTCCACATTGTTTCACAGGAGCAGATGTTATGTGTATACATTTCAAAGACTAACGCCAAGACCTGTACTTATGTACAACTCTGAAGTCTTGTAAAACAAGTGTGTACCACAGTGCCGTGTCAAATACCTTAAAGTTTGCTGACCAATAAAATACCTTGGATGTTATTTTTATGGAAAAGTCTTCTTTATTTGATACAAAAAAATTACACTTAACTCTTAAAAATTGTGGTGGTATATCTTCATATATCAAAAAGGGATATTAAATGTTAATGAAGTTGGTTCTTATATTCTAAAATGATTATTATTAAAAGCCTCTGCAATGTGCAAAAAAAAAAAAAAAAAAAAAAGGTTAGACAAACACTACAAGTGCAGAGTTTGGTGCCTTTTAGACAAAAACCTGCATCCAACTCTAAATAAGTTTTGTAGAAAATTGTACAAAATAAAAATAGGGATTATAAAAAGGGAGGGAGACTTATTTCGGCAGTTCTTCAATGATGATACGGGAGACTGAATTCCATCCAGTAGAAGCATCTCCCCTGGGGTAGTCAGAGCAAGTCCCGACCCAAATGGCCACGTCCACCAAGCCGGCGTTGATCCCTTCACACAGACCTTCCACTGGTGAGACACAGATGCCACGTCACCACGGCAGACACAAACACTTTTGGACACAAGTACTTCACAAAAGTTCATTGCAAGCCCGTGCTATGTAATTAGATCTAAATAACATTTTTTGGAGAAAGAAAATTCTAAAAAATTAGATTTCATGCAGTCATTATACACTATAGGAAGCAAAATGGCTTTTTGCAGCTGGGCACTTGCTTCACAATACCTTAGCTATTTCTGAGAGCAAAATACAGCTTAAACCACTGATGTGATGATGGAAAGTATTCGTAACCATAAGCCTGCTAAAGTAATGCAACACTTGGTTTTATAAATACTTCTCGGAGTGTATCAACCAGCAGAAAGTATCAGCATTTCTAAAGTAAGCACCATGAAAAATAAGACAGTTTAAAAGTACTGATTAATAAATAATTCTAATACTGTTACTCTTTATAGTCAGTTGTGACGAGCAGAGTAAGAGAAGCTGGTGTTAACAGGCCGCTCTTCTGCCTCTTCTTGGCGTCCTTTGGCTTCCTACAGCAGACATGCACTGTGCATTCAGTACCGGGGTCTGCTACCAGCCTCTCACCCATTCTGTTCATGCAGCGTTGGCACACATACCTGAGGAAGTTCGGTGTATGTTGATAGTAGAATTCAGCTCTGGGCTGCCTTGATCTAAATATATTATGGCTTCGATGGGAAGTGGCCCGGCGCATTCTGCTCCATTGAAAGTGAAGTACCAGCGCTGACAACAGGCGCTTCGGCACTTCAGCCGCAGCGATCCACTGAAGAGGACTCTGAGAGCACTGTTGGAGCGCATCTTTGTGAACGTACATTCCTAGGAGGGACAAAAACATTTTGGTAGCAAACTCTGACCTTGAACCTACTCCCTGCAATCGCTTTCAGAATGTTTTAGTTCCTTCTGTCTGTGGAAAAAAAAAATAAGTCTGAAAAATACTCTGTGATGCAAAGATGCAAATCAGAAACTGCACCTCATAGCTGATAATGGAGAAAGGGGATCATGAGAATTCTTAATTTTATTTGGGTAATACCTGTAGGTAAGTTGGTAACAGTGTCACCTTCTGGGGGCTTAGGTAAGGGAATATGAGCTGTCTGAAAGCTGCGCTCAAGTTCTTGTATGAGTGGACAGTACAGTTTCTGTCTGTGATGCCACAACAACTGGATTTCATAATGCTCACAAGATTTGTCTTGGTTAAAAAAAATTAAAAAAGGACTAATGGAACTACTTAAACCCAGATTAAAACTTAAAGTAAAGAAATAGTTTCAGGTTTTAAGAGGGTGCTAGTCTGTCTTCAGAATGCTGAATCTCTCTTATGACTGCAGAGGTGAAAACCTTCCCCGCCCCAGGCAGACGGAGGTGCTTGACAGGGCTCCTTTCAGCCCTGCAGTCACAGGCTTAACCCTACTCAGACACCACAGCCCCTTCACTCTCTTGGAATGCTACTACAGAAACTGACAAGTGGGCACATCGCTGCTGAACACAGCTGAGATGGACCTGAAGCAAAGAACCTGAGGAGTCCACCCTCACATTTCAACAAAAGGCTGCAACAGGAAACATCCCAGGAGCTGCATGGCATTTATGTTACCCTGCCACAATTCCAAACCTTAAAGCTTCCGCGGTATTGCTGGAGCCAGCTTACCGCTATTTTCCCCAGGTCTATGCCGTAGTTCAGTGCACTCCACGAGCACTGCTTGAAGTTGGGCGTCCAGGACTCCTCAATGCTCTCCCGCAGGCACTCGCCCTTTTCTCCCTTGGGCCCGTCACGCCCCGGGATTCCCGGTGTCCCCGGGATCCCGTTGGTTCCAGGGTTCCCGTCCCGTCCAGGGACACCGCTGGGGCCCTGCAGGCAGACGCCGTTGTACTGAAAAAGAGGGCAGAGCTTGCTGAGCAGCCAAGCAAAAAGCAAACAACGAAAGTACAAAAGAAACCCCGCTGTGATAGAATCACAGAATGTCTCAAAAGTAGGCAGGGACCCAGAAGGATCATTGAGTCCAACTCCCAGCTCCACACAGGCCCACCCCAAATCCAAACCGGGTGTCTGAAACGCTCCCTGAACGCCGGCATGGGGCCGTGCCCACTGTCCTCCACTGCCCCGTGCAGCCCGTTCCGTGCCCGCCGCCCTCCGCTGCAGCCCCTGTCCCTGACCGCCACCCGCCCCTCCCCTGACGCAGCTCCATGCCGTTCCCTCGGGCCCTGTCGCTGTCACACGGAGCAGAGCTCAGCGCTGCCCCTCCGCTCCCTGTGAGGAGCTGCAGCCGCCATCGGGCCTCCCCTCAGCTCCTCTGCTCCGGGCTGCACAAACACAGCGGCCTCAGCGCTCCTCATACATCTTGCCCTCCAGACCCATCCCCATCTCTGTAGCCCTCCTTTGGACACTCTGATAGTTTTATCAGTGCAGGCAGTGCCCAAACCTGCACACAGTGCACAAGGTGATGCCACAGAGAGCACAGTAAGCTAATGGCTTACTTCCAGATGACTGAGAAAATAGTTCCAGAAGAAATAGACCGGCAAGAAATGGTGCTATGCTGCCCCTGATTCCCATCCATCCCGTTCACCCCCATTCCAAAAGCAGTGCTCATGTCACTGCCGGCCCCACACTGACAGCTGTCCCCATGGCCTGGGAACCTCTTTATTTAGGGGCTTTTGATTTTGTCCTGCACTTAGGTGCAAGACCAGCATGGCCACTGAGGGCTTGGCAGCAGCACAACAACACCATTTCACAAAGCAAATTCTCAGCTACTTTTCAACACAGCACCACCACTCGCTGTGCATTTTCACCTGCAGTGAACAAGAGCCTGCATGCTGTGCTTGTGAACACCTGCACCAGCAGAGGTGACCCACTGCCACACATCAGCCACCACCTCGCCGTGCTCACATCCACCCCTTGAACCCCAGAAACATTCGGCAAGTGCTGATGAATGCCAGTGAGTGCTGTTTTTCCACATGGAGGAAATGGAGGAACTCAGTGGCACACCTTTGCTTCATACACACTCCCATGTTAGACACCGTTCTGTCAGACCAGTCACACAGCAGTGACACGTAGTGGGATACTGACAGGAAGGTTCAGCCTCTACTGCCGTAGCACAACATCCACCTCCGACGCCGTGGAGGCATTACTTGCGGATCAAAACGCCGCCAAGGCTTCCCTCATCCCACAGCACGGCCTGGCCGCGTCGCCGCAGCCTCCCTCCGCGCATTTGCCCGCAGCCCCGCTTCACGCGGCACGGAGAGCCGCCAAAGCGCCGCAGCGCCGGGCCGAATCGCGCCGTGCGGCCGCCAGGGGTCAGGGCCGGGCCGGGCCGCGGCAGCAGCTGTCAGCGTGGTGCCTCGCTCCCCTGCAGGAGCCGCGCCGCTCCGCCTGCGGGACCCGTCCGCCGCTGAGCGCTCTGTGGCGGCCCAGCTCCGCACGCCGTTCCGCTCCCGCGGTGAAAAACGAAGCGCTGTGCGGCGGGTTAGCACAACGGTGCTCCGCGCGCTGCCCAGTGCCGCCCGGGGGGTCTGAACGGAACGCGGTTCCTGCCGGCGGTGAGCGGTAGCCCCGCGGCTCCCGGCGGCGGCCCCACGTCAGCGTCCCGCATTCCGAGGGCCGGAAAATCCCCCTCCTCCATTCTGCCCCTGGGGTGGGGCGGGCCCGGCGCTCAGGTGTCCGGTTGCAGCGGAGCCGCGGTGGGGTTGGAAGCCGAGACGGCGGACGCGGAGCGATGCGGCGATGCCGCTGCGAGGGGGCGGCCCTCCGCTCCTTTCTCCGCTCGCAGCTGGCCGTGGGTTCAGCGCTCCAGCCCTCGAGTAACGGAGCGGCTGAGGGACCCCCGAGCCTCCCCAGCCCCCCACTCCCCCGCCGCGGCTCCGCCCGGACGGCCGCCGGCCGAGCAGAGCGGCTCCGCGCCCGCCGCCCCGCTCCGCTCACCGCTTCCAGCACCTCCCGCGGCCGCGCCGCTCGCTGTTTGCCCCGCGGGCTGTCGGCGAGGCCCGAGCCCAGCAGCAGCGCCAGGAGCAGCAGCGAGGCGCGGCGCATGGCGGGGCCCGGCCGTGCCTCTCCGCCGCCGGCGATGAATGAGGCTTTCACGGCCCCGAACCCCGCTCCCTCCCCCGGGGCCGGCACGTTCCACCCGCAGCCGGGCGGGGGCGGCGCCGGCCCCGGCAGCCATTGGCACGGGCCGGGGGCTCCCGCCCCCCGGTGCTGTGCGCTGGTACCCGGCTCTCACGGCCCGCGCTGTGTCACCGGCGGCGTGCCCGTAAAGCGGCCGTGCGGCGTGGTAAATACCTCGCTAGGGAGGCTGTTACGCCCGTCTGTGCGCGTTTCCCCACCTGGGTTTGATAACCGTGAGAGTTTGAGCCCGGCTAGAAGCTTTCAAATCCCACATCCCGACTTTTCCTGTAAAGGAACGTTCTACAAAGAGCAGCGGGACGTCTGCTCTGAGTTCCTTGTGCTGAGCCAACTTGTGATGTGTTACTGCCTGGAAACAAAGATGGTCACAGAGATGAAGAGGGGCCTGGAGCATCTCCCATATGAAAGGCTGAGAGCTCCGGGGCTGTTCAGTTT